GGTGACGGCCGCCCATGTGCGCATACCGCCTGCCTGTTAATAACATGTGCGTTTAGCAGCTATTCGAGATCAGTGGAGGCGCGTAATAAATGAGTTGCCAATACTCGGATCCTTGCGTTTGCGCAAAGGGTTCTGGGATAGCTACGAGGCGAACATTGTAACTCGCTACAAAGGAATGTATGGCGAAAGGTTCTATCAACGTCCAAAAAGTGATTTTTGCGAGAGATTATGGCTTTTTCGCCGCAGTTTTATTATACACAGATAAAGATATGTTGATACGAGGGAAGTGTAAGTTTTTGTTGGAATTATCACGAAATATGTCATAAAAAATACCGAAAACCCTCTCTCCTTGCGCAAGGTCTGTTGTGAAATCGTCATCGCCTAATGTCTCGAAATATTACAAAGTTAGCCAGGGATCGCTAGGAAATAACTTATTTAAGTCTTTTCAGTTGTATTTATATATGTACTGCCTCTTTTCATGTTTTTAAGGTATTTAATGAACAAATTACGACGTTTGAAAATATACCTCCTTTAAGGAGAGAAGTCGTTGACTACGAAAATGGAAATTATTTTTACCGAGCTGTTGCTCTCTGAAAGGATGAAATAAGCGATGAAAAACATGAGGAAATCCCTCGTTCAAGTGATAGTTTGTTTGAGAAAAATCCAAAGGTCTCTGAGCTGCAACTTTTCTTCTCGAACTCCTCGAAGGATCTTGTCAGGAAAAGCAAGATCACGGGAATTCCGGCAGAAATTGTGGATATATCATCGGTTGTGCCGGCATCGCTCCTTAAGGGACCAATTTGTATCAGTCATCGTCACAGAAGGAAGGGTTCAGTTTTGCGTCGAGAATTAACGCTGATTCGTTCGCATTCATCACAACAGAGAAGCAGTGTAGGTGATTCGGCACTCTAATGTACCGCAATATTTAAAAAAAAGTGCTAAAAATAAGTTTTGCGAGTTGATTGATCGGTTAGTTCTTTTTGTGTAATCTTCGGGAGTAGTGATTAGAAGAATATAGATTGTGTTCGAATACTTTTGTGTCTTCAGTGTCTCTAGGAATACTGGAAACAAGTGACAGGGTAACTACGAAAATTCCTCACAGTACTTTGCATTTTTTTGATGATGATTTATGCGAGAATTTGATGTTTTGTGACAAGCAATTCCCAATTAATGTGAGTATGGACGGAAGTTATTCCTTGTAACAATAAAAACTTTATTAAAATGAAAATAAGCACATCGACACTGAAGTTCGCCTGTATACAGCTGTTTGCGAGCCAGCTTCATAAACATTTCAATAAAATTACAAAGGCCACAGATCGCTTTCTTTTCGATTGAAATACCGGCATCACATGTCGATCGAATGACACGAGCTCCCTGAAATTGTCTCCTAGAATACGGTTACGAAGAATTTCCTACTCTTGTTGTATACAACACTCTGTAGAGCCAGGTGTAATCCAACGTTTGTTTAAGATCATAAGTTCAGGGATCAATGAAGCTCGGTTTAGAGTCAATAATTTATTTTCTAGTCCTCCTGGCATATGTTCTTCAAGTGGGTAAGTGAACAGCTTTAATTTTAGCGTCTCCATGTTCTATATATTTTCTATGTGAAGAAGTAAGAGCCCGCTTAAATAAAAACACTTATGATCAAACTCAGCATGTGTGGAGAAGTTAATTTCCCGAAAAGCAGATAAACAACCTTTACAAAATATACTAACAAAAATAACCCGGAAAAATAAATACAAAGATACGACGAGACAAAGCACTTATATTAAATGCTGCGAGAAACATAAGAAACACAAGTTACTCGCACAATCGGGGTTTAAACAGGACAAAAAAGAACACTCACTTTGCAAGGAGGGCATGAGACACTGCGAAGTTGAAATTTTGACGTTCTTGATAAATTTCACACTTAGTTATCAGCATGTCGTCCATTTCAAAGGGCAACGACACAAGTGACATTTGATATCACTTACCTTTCCTAAAATTCTAAAATCAGCTTTGCTGTAAAAGAGCAAAAACCTTTCTTTATCACAACTTATGTAAAAATTTTCGCTTTCGTGTACAATCACCAGAAAGCAGACAACAAGAAGTACAGCCTCTCTCCTTCCTGTCTCACAGAGTTTTACAGGAACTGATCTAAATAGAAATTTTTGTTCTGTAGCTCTTGCTATTCACTGCTTCAAGTGCAAATCAGAAACGTCATGGTCGGAATGCGATCTTCGTGTGAATCAAGAAGCCAATCGAGACTGCCCAGCGGAAAAGATCCGATGTATAGCTGTGAAGGAAAGGAAGAATCCAAGAGAACGGGAGGAATACAGGAAAGACTGCGCTGGCCGTCTTGAAAATCCGTGTCATGAAAAACGTGTAGAGGATTGTAGGTCCACCTTATGTGATACTGACCTATGTAACTTTGCTCTCACCCCATCAGCCACCCTCATTGCTTCTGGCTTCCGCTGCTTCCGTTGTATAAGCGAGAAATCTTGGGACGACTGCGTTGAAAAAGCTGAAGAGATCATCTGCGAAACAGGCTACAGAAAGTGCTACAAACTAGAGTTTAAGAGGGAAAACGGCGTCACTGAATACATAAAAGACTGCACTGTCCCTCTGGCCTGTGGAAACTCGTCAATCAATATGCCTCAAGCCGAACGTCGCAACATTCAGTGCTGTGGCCAACATCTTTGCAACGGGGCGAGTATCAAGAGCTCCCCTGTGGCAATATTTGGTCTTCTTCTCCTTGTCATCACGGTGGTATTCCTTTTTGATGTCCAAAACGATTTGTTGGTAATCAGGATCCCCTCAAGTTGTTATCTTGATCTAACGCCAAACTCTCAGAACTTATTTTCAAGGATATGTGTACCAGTTAGAGGGAAGAATTAACAATCAGATCTTGGGAGTTAAAGGGTTAAAGTCCTAGATAGAAGCAGTAGAGATGTAGATGTCATAATGCGAAATCAACTAAACAGGAAGGGATAGACAGTTCCCTTCCACAGTATTGTGCCTCTCCCTAATATTTATGGCTATGAAGGCTTTGTCAAATGTGTAATTCTCAATAGAAAGTTAACCAGTTTGCACTCCTGTGGTGCCTAAGAATAAAAACAGCTTCGGGAATTGTAAAGACGCTGCTGTAAGCTGACATTTGGTTAGCCCTCTCTTAGAGACCTCAAAAGTTTAGCACCGCTCAAGGTGTCAGCTTCCCAAGATTCCTTCCCAGTGATCGACTGAATGTTTCTCTTGTCCGCCTACACTTTCTTTAAAAAGCTAATATCGGAGTGGAAACAAATGTCAGCGTCAAAGAAGCTGCAATGAATCAATATCATTGCAGTCCCTCAGGTGTGGAGTTCGTTTCTTGATTGGATATTTCTCAAAAAGGAAACAAGTTTTATTATCAATTGTTTAATTTGAATAACAACAGTGTGTTACATGACAGTCACAATGTCTTTTGGGCGTGATGAACCTCGGTTTATTTTTTTTAAGGAGGTTAATCGGCAGTAAGTTGTTCACGGGGCTTCTTAAACTAAGCTGCAGCTTGTAAAAGCAAAAAAAAAAAAGTTAGTAAAGGCCCATTTCTGAAATCTTCATGTCTTTGACGCATTTCAGGTAGTGCAAGTAATTTCTTTTTAGAGCGTGGGTATTACTAATCTGGATTCAACAGCTGACAGCTCCCAACTCATCTTCTCAGCGTGTTGCTCTAAATTTACTAAAAACATTGTCTGTGCTCAGGCTCCATGACATTTTGGTTAGGGTGCACACTTTAAAACCAAGTATTGTTAATCATTTAATCTCAGGAATCTGATAAAAACAGATCAGTTTAGCAATTCCACTTTGGAGAAATTAACTCGTTTTTATCATATGACCCATTTGGCTCCGCGTGCACTTTCATTGCAAAACATCATACAGAAAAATCCTCGTATAGAGGTACGTGCACGTTAGCGCAAGAAGGGCCGAAAAACGCCACTCAGCCCAACGTGCAGCCCCGCACGCTGTCTAAATTAGATCGGTCCGAAAGGGAAGATATTTAGCTCTTGGTTGTGAAGTGCGAACTTCGCTGCGCTTAGGTCCGTACGTCATGATCTCGAGCCACTAATTTGCGTTTGGCCTTGTCAATCAGTCAAAAAGTAGATTAAAATGTCCCTGTTATATAAATAAACATGTTATATATAAATAGGCCAGATGTGAAATATTCTTTTATTTTAAAAGAATATTTATTTTATAAGGCGTTCTTCTTACCTCCTATCATATTTCTCTTGAACATGACACTGAAAAAAATTCCCTTTCATACTCAGTCTCACTAATAAAATAAGAAATGCCTGAAAAGTGAAAGTGGAATGTGAAATGACAAATCGTTTGGGCGCTCATGAAGGGTTTGGTTGGGAGTCAATAGTTCTTTCCACCGTCCCGATGATGGTTAACGCAGCTACAATTTGAATGCAGGGAAATTCTCAAATAACGTGGTTGAGAACAGAAAATATTCCTTTCATCGATGACACATGCTCGAAATGAAAATTTACAAACCGACGCTCGACTTCTCTTGCAAACAGCTGTTTGAGAGCTAAGATGATCAACTGACTTGATAATTTGAATTGGTCCCTGTAAAGTGATTCTAAAACTGACGTTTGGAATATTAGCCATTTGTTGGAGCTGAAGTAGGACTACCGCTCCAAATGTCAGAATCTCTTTACGGTGGCCATTTCACTTTATCAAGTCAGTTGATGAAACCAATTTGTCTTGAACTACCCCCGAACCAGCTTCGTAAACATTACAAAGGCCCCAGACTGCCATTTTAGATCGATGTACCGGCACCACATGTCGAATGAATGACGTAAACCCCCCTTCGTCTTCTAAATTACTGGTACGCTCCATGTTTTACTCTTGTTGTATACAACACTCTGCTCATTCAAGTGTCATTCAACTTTTGTTTATGATCCTAACCTCTGGGATCAATGAAGCCCGATTTACAGTCAATAATTTATTTTCTAGTCCTCCTGGCATACGTTCTTCGAGTCGGTAAGTTTACAGTTTTATTTTTAGCGTCTCCATGTTCTCTATTTATTGTTGCCACGCTTCTAATTTTCGAAAGAGATGCTTTACAAGCCAAATACTTCGAGTCATTTTCGACGACCTCTCACCATCAGTTCAATGAAATACAAAATAGAAAAGAAGAATCCATGAAGGAACAGGTATAGATGAAATTGGATTCAAATGCCAAACGTGGAAAATTCAGGTTAACTATTTCTCGACGCAAACGTTTCTTCGTGTTTCAACAAAAAAGATTAAAGCAAATCGACAAATAAGTTTGGAGAAACGGTAATCATAGCGATGATCTATGTCAAGATCTCTTAGTCGCGGAAATTTTCATCATTGTCCTGGTCAGTTGCATGACGATCTAACTCAGTAACTTTAATAGAATTTTGAATTAAAATATCACAAAAGCCAGATGAGCATCTGATTCTGGTTCATTGAGCGAACTATTTTCGGTGGTACAAGGAAAGTCGTCCGGTGTATTTATATTTGTATGTTCCTCCACTCCAGTATGTTAATATATATGTGCAATAATTAGTATGTAGTAAATAATTTATCTACCGATGAGTTATCTATGTATTTAGAATGGAATGGAAAGGGGCATATCTAATGAGGAAAATAATGTTGTGCTCCTTAAAGATCCTGATGATAGGAAATACTCGCTCAAAGAAATGTAAGAGAGGAGAAAGAGTAATATCGAAATATATAGAGAATAATGCATGGGCGCGCGAAGATATGCGCTGCGCTCACTCGTGAGCTATCGAGTTAAACACTCGAAGAGAAATTTCATATCTACAAGCAACCATGTATTATTTTGTTTATCATATAAACACAATAGCCCTTTAATGGGAAGACAAGCCGACTTCATCAATGAATGAAAATAAATGAATCGACAATCCTCGAATAACAATCGTAGAGTGCATTGGCGCTGACTCTTAAGATGGAAAAGGGCGTCCCTATTACAAAAACAACAATGGTCGTAATTTTCAATTTATAAAATTCTCATTTATGGACTTTGTCCTTACCGACAGAAGAAGTCTTTCAGGTAAACGGCCAAAATCGGCCAGAGGCAAATCTTCCAGTTATCGATTTTCATTCTCAGCCGTCAGAAATGCTAACACCCAAGCCACTGAATATGCAAATTTCGGTTTTCCTTTTACTATATTGGTTTTCTACCCTTTCTAGGAAAGTTTGAACATCGTTGTCTGTCAGCGATACGGATTTTTTTAGTGTCTTAGCCGCCATAATTCGAGAAAGCTCCGACAAACAACTTGTATTGAGAAACGTGAAGGTTTTGCCGTTCATTCATCAACCTGACCGAGTGGCGCCAAAGACGAGTGACGTGTAAGCAGCTGATTGGTTATATCAACACACGTGAAAAATTCGATATTTTTTCGCCAGTGTTGTTATGGCTTTTCTCAGGGCCGGAAATCCCTGTATAACACCGCAGTTTATGTGATAAATATATATACATACAGTCAGTGTTGAGCTATAAATAGTAATTTAAAAGTGCCTTGAGCTTTTTGAACAATTATTTAGTTGATTTTTCTCAAATTGCTTGAGGAATACTTTTCCAAAAGTTTCTACCGATACTTGATGGACAAAATCTCATGTGATATGACGGTATTGCCAGTTGATTAAAGGATACATTGCGGGTGTTATAATCATATAGCTCAGATACTAAAGAAATATTTAGGCTGAAAAAATTGTCGTTATTAAGATATTCATAAAACAGCAAGCATGTTTGAAGTTTAACAATATCGGGAAGTTTCACTAAACCTGGAGATGCGTATTTAAAGGCATATCATTAATATACGAACAAATTTGCTCTACAATTTAATAACTCAATATAGAGGAGCACAATAATTATAAAACCCGTATCATTGTACACAGTACAACCAATTCTGACTACACTCAGACGAGATATTCAATGTGAAAGTTTATTTAGGAGAAGTCAGCCAGTCTTGTAGTCTACATATCCTACTACAATCTGCAATGTTCTGCAAGTATTCACTGAAAATAAAGGGTTATACAAAAATAGGCTGTGCTACGCCAGATACGAAAAACCACTAAAAACCACTCTTTAGAAGTGGCCAAAAACTATGTGGAAACGTATTCCTCATCTAATGCAGCAGCACTATACCCCGAGGAAAGGGTAACTAAAATAAACCTAGTTACACTACTAAATTACACAGAAAATTCAATGAAAGGAGTGATGTTTTACATAGAGTTGTAAAGCAAAATTACATTAAGTAAAAAATAAATAAATAAAAGAAAGTGGCCCAACCTAAGACTGACCGACGTAGAATGACCTAATTTCCCCGCGAAACGCTTAAATAACCCGAAACTACCACGATGCCATGCGAACCTCTCAAACGTGCCGTCAGAATATTAATTTCTGACTAATTCGTTCCCATGTCTCTCAAACGTCAGAAATTACATTATTTAAGATCAGAATAGATAAGGGAATACGAAATACTCGCTGATACGTAATGCTTCAACTTTGTCAAAAGGTTAAGATTTTTGCTAATTTTGCCACAGAAATAATCAATGTGGTCATGCAAAGTAAGATGATGTGTGTGCTAATGAAAAAATCGCAACTGCTGCCAATTACATGTAACCAAATATTACATGTATGAAAGTTTCGCACTTATATTTTCGGTTTAAATTCGAAAAAAGATTTAATTTGAAACCTTTTATCTCCCTGTTTATCTCCCGACATATAACTGTCTCACAATTGTGATTACCAAAGACTAACAGAAAAGCTAATTGGTAACATTTAGTCTGGTACCCGCCGACCTTCGACGGCCAGGCGGTTGTACATTCAGTTACACGGTAGGATCTGGGCACAGGATTATGGGGCATCTTGATAACGCACTTGAACGTGAGCTTTGATGAACAGCTAGACAATGTCCAAGGACAATAATACGAGCACTTTTCGCGCCAAGTAGAGGCTACTGTTTTTATCATCCCTCAAATATTTCTGTAGAACGCGGGCCAAGTGCTTACGAACAACTTCCTTTTTATTGTGTTAGGTGTTCACTTAATGAACAAGAAGATAAGTTCCTTCCTCTATAACCGAACAAGAAAAACGCTCTCTCATTTTGAATTAAAACTTAGAAGAGGACTTTCATCTTGCTAAGGGTAAATTCTGAAAAATTGGGGGATATCACTAACAGAATGTCACCGCATACTTCGCGGGCTTAGCTTATTCGGTCACGTGATGCATTTATACCAATCGCGCCGGAGCAAAAATATTTGATTGATATAATGCAAATTATTCTCAATCCAGTCTACTACCAGCTGTAAGCAGACCCCAAGAAGTTCCATTTTTGATGCTAGTTATTAGTGAGTTGAAGTGAGTCCCACTTCAGCAGCCAACGACACAAGTTTACAATAAAATAACTATACTCTCCTAAAATTCTAATATCAGCTCCTCAGAAGAAAAGCAGAGTATTTCTTTATCACAGTTCACTTTCGTGAACAAACGCCTGAGAGCTGACGATAGAAAGTACAGCCTCGCTCCTTCATGTCTCACAGAGTTGTAAAGGAACTGATCTAGGTGGAAATTTTTGTTTTGCAGTTCTTGCTCTTAGATGCTTTAAGTGCAAATCCGACATTTCATGGATGGATTGCGATCTCGATAAGGACAAATCAATGGAAGAATGCCCAGTGGAGAAAATCCGATGTTCGTCTACGATGGTGAGGCCGAATCCAAGAGACAAATTAGACTATAAGAAAGACTGTGCTGACCGTCTTCACAATCCGTGCCATGAAAAACGCGTTGAGGATTGTAGATCCACCTTATGTGATAGTGACCTGTGTAACTTTGCTCTCACCCCATCAGCCACCCTCATTGCTTCTGGCTTCCGCTGCTTCCGTTGTAACAGCACGAAATCTTGGAACGACTGCGTTGACAAAGCTGAAGAGATCTTCTGCAACACAGGCTACAGAAAGTGTTTCAAATGGGAGTTTAAGCGGGAGGACGGCGTCACTGAATATTTAAAAGGCTGCACTGTCCCCCAAACCAACTTGTCCGTCAGTAACACGCTTGAAGAGGATCGTCGTGATATGCACTTGTGTGGTCAACATCTTTGCAACGAAGCGATTATGATGGGCCCTCCGATGGTAACATTTGGTCCTCTTTTCCTTGTCATTGTGGTATTCCTTTTTGATTCCAAAAGTATTTGTTAGAAAATCCAAACCGGTTTTTACCAGGATCTTCTTAAACTCCCAAGTAGGACGAAGACATCTAGAAGTTTTATTCTCATTAACTAAGGTGAAAGGGGAGGATCTGAGCCAAGAGTAGAAAGTTCCCTGACAAAAATTAACCTCGCTCACATTCATGGTTATGAGGCGTTGTTAAATGTGTAATAATATACGTTAAAAAATTACGCACGTCTGATTGGCTGAAAACGAGTGCATTTTTCATGTAACACGAGTGCAAAGTTGTAACACGAGTGCAAATTACAATTAGCACGCGCGCTGTCAAAATTTCGTCTGTCTTGACTTTCTATGATGCTTTTTTCATGTAAATTATTAACAAGTAACAACATGATTTCTCGTGCAATTTGGTGCAACTGAGCACTAGTAAATTTTTCAAAGACTAAAAATTGCAATCACCTTACGGGCTTGTGCAAATCTGTTGTCTTTGAAAAATTTATTTGTGCTTATTAATACCCAATTGCACTCGAAAATCATGTGATTACCTATACCAATTTTCAATGTAAATTTTTAAACTAAGCTGCAACCTGTTCTGAGCTGGACAGTAAGGGCAAGTAAAGGCACATTTTTGGAGTCTTTCCGTCACCAACGCGTTCAACAGTGAAGTCAATATTTCATTTGCCCCACAACGCCTAACCCATCTTCTGGTTGTGATATTCTAAATTCAACAAAAAAAATCGGAGACTGTGTCGGCAGGGGAGAGGTCAACTTCGATTTCGAATTTTCCGACATAGAAAGAATGAGCGCACGCCAAACAACGCTAAACCGACGGGAATCACGAAATGACCGTCTGCACGGTTGCGCAACTTGCTCATGAATGTGGCAAGCAAGATACCAAAGCGTGAAGATTTTCGTCGGTGAGAAAATCGGAATTAGCGAGTACTCGCGAGTGATCTAAAGGGAATAGTCACCAGACAGCATACTGGGAAAGGCTGTTCCCTAACTCGAGTTTGTACCCTCCTTCTACAAAATACAAAATGAAAAATGCAAAGGGATGAAAAATATGCAAAATATCTCGGTTTGACCTCTATTACTTTCTAAAACAGTAAGTGCACAACCTTTGTGGCTCATATTTTTTAAGAATTCGCTTAAAACTTCAATTCAAATATCGCACATGTTATCTTCAACTTGTCTTGTTTACTTTCTACCAACTTATAACCAGTATTTCCAGACAGAAGACCCCAACAGTATGTCATGTAGTTTGAAATATCCATAGGTGGATTCCGCGCGTGAAAAGACACGAGGCTTATTCCTAGAGCCTACATGTACCTCTACTGACTTGGAAGTGCGACTTAAGTCTTTTCTTTTGAGTTTAAACTACATCTATATAACAAAGATTAAAAGCCCTGCCATGGACAGCAAAAAGGGAATTTCGAATGAGGTAACCACTGACAAAAAGAGAAGAGTACCTTTCACTTCAAGTATAATACCTCCCGTGCGTTTTATTTCGACGCAAAGTTGTACAGCAAAGTCAAACTACAAAACCAAAGGCTGTCTTGAACTTTTACAAATTTGCTGTATCATGCCTGTATCATTCAATTCCTAACACTATCATAAGAATTAAATACATCAACAATGTTTGACATTTGGTTTGTTCATAACAGTTCAGTAATTGAAGTCAGCTCTTTAAGCTCTCTACAGAAAAATCAAAGCAGTAAGACTAACACACCGATCAACACCGTTAGCACAATCACACGGCTGGATACCTTTTCCTTCCATCCCCTTGAGCAGTATTTGGCATAAATAGGAGGAAATCAATGAAGTCAAGCGGCCGTCTTTCAGAGGTCTTCAGCTGACTCCACACCTTCCTCTGTATCACCCCTGTAGCCAAGATCAGCCTCTGAAGTTACACCACTGCCAAGAACTGCCATCTGTTCCTTCAAACCCTTCAGAGTATTTGACCGACCACGATCTTCTTCCGTGTACGTAGTTGGTTCTGGTGTAGCAAGTCCTCGACCTCCTGACACTTCTTCCTCCACTTCGGTGTCAGAATTCACCGGAGTGATCGCTTCATCCGCAGCGCTGTCGACAAGAGCATAGTCTGTATCCAGCGACGTAGAGCTACCTCCTGGTACGGCGGTCATGTAAGCTGCAGTATCAGTATCGGAGGTGATGTCCTCCCTTGCACTCATAAAGGACTCTGTATCACTGTCTGGCTCCGGACTGCCGTCTTGGTCTGCTTGTTCATCATACTCGTCTTCTTCATTTATGACGGTGTTTTTGGAGATTTCCATGAGCGAACCCGAAGGAGACATATCACCAGTAACTTTATTAGGCTCATTTTCAGCAGAACTGAATGACTTCTTGATTGAATATTGTTTATTACCAGGCATCCCTTTGAATGATTCAAAATTAATTTCATAGGTTACTTTCGGCTTTGCTTGTGATGATGAAGAATGCGCAGACGACTTCTGTTCAAGGCGCGAGGCGGAAACCTCCATCGCATTTTCGTGTCCGTTACTTTGCGTGACAGTTCGGTGTACCTCGGACGCAACTACGTGGCGAGTCACTGTTGTACTTTCGTTAGAAGCTTTAAACACATGACTTTCCGAGTCGGCTGACGGTGATAGACTTTGAAGTTGCGTGACACTTGGCGTCACGGAGACAATGACGTTATCAGTGTCACGTTCAGGCAGTGTCACGGTACTTACATAGGACTGTTTAGAAGAAATCACCTGTCGGTGAACAGTACTTGTTACGGTCTTCACGGAAGTCTCATTTTTTTCCGACACATGGCGGCTGCCAGTGAAAGTCGCTGCTATTGTCCTTCGCGATGAAGGTGCGATATTCAAACTGCTTCGGTATCCTCCTGCCTTTTCTTGGCTGATGACAGATTCTACGTGACCGGTAGTCTCAGAAATTTCAGGCTGTGACTGCACGCTATCCGTCAAAACAGCTCTGACCTCTTGCTCCTTAACGACACCCAGAGCTGCTTGCCCTTCATTAGGCATACCTGGCGCTGAATAAGCGGGCGGTGGGACGTAATCTTTAGAAATGGTCTTTACTAATGCAGCTTTCACTGGCGAATCCCTTTCAGCAGTCACCGGTCCATGCAGCTCCGCGCCACCGTCAGGAGCATCTACAAGAAGAGCGCCATCCAGCAAGTCGCTTCCAGCAGGTTTAGACTGTAAACCAGTGCTGCTGTGTAATGGTACGGTTTCGATGAGATCTTGGAGTGCCTCTTCTTTAATATCTCCATTAGTCTTAGCCAATGGAAAACTTTCTTGTAGTTCAGTATTGCTTTGCATAACCTCCTGAGGTGCTCCCTCTCTAAGGACTCCATTATGTGACGCTGAAGTGATCTCAACCGGCGTCTCCTGCAATCCACTTTTACCGGTCTTTTCATCTGGTGGAGGTCCTAAACAATAACGAAGCGAAAATTGTCAGTATCCAACGAAATCGCCATAGAGATAACTCTAGTGTTCGTATTTGTTTTGCCTCACTTCAAGGTCGCCTTTTTATTTGTGGAGAAAATCTGCGTCTCCCTGCAAAACCGATATCTTTTCGCGAATTTGACAGACGTTTTTCCGTGCTTCGTTTGCCTTCGTTTTCAGTTCCAATTGGTTCCCTGTGATACACTCGATTCTATTTGTTCAAAGTAATATCTCTAGATTCCTTAAATTCAAATATCAATCGTGAAGCTCTTCAGAAAAACACCAAGGGAACAGTTAATTATTCAGAATTTTTTTGAATAAATGACGACAGAAAAAGCGTGTGACTTTTACCCGTTTCATGTTCATTGGCAGTTGATGACACCTCAACCTCGCGAACTGCAAACTGCCTCTTAATCATTTCCTCGTTGATGTTCACATCCTGCGGTGGAATATCATGCAAAGATCTTTGAATTTCAGTTGAAAATGGTTAGAGCTAGGATTGTATTTTTTCTTTTTTAATTTCTAGATAATTATGTGAATATTTTTTTTTGTCTTTATTTATTATTTGTTGTTCGAGCTATTCTTCCACCAGAATGAATCTTGACGCCTTCAGCTGTAATTAAGTGCTCTCACTAACTATCTAATTTTTGGCAAGCAAGAGCATATTTTCTCGTGATACGTTTGGCTGCTAACTGGGATTTTTAAAACAGAGGAATGCTGAGGAGAGAAAAAAATTATACTAAGGGGGGTGAGTGATAGGCAAAAGAGATATGATGGAATGTCGTTATTCACCCTCTCCTCTCTCTACACGCATAAACCTTACAAATCAGTAAGTGATTGGAAGCCTGTTACCCCAACAGGCTCTCTCTCCCTCCCCATTGCTAGCCAAGATAAACACAATCATTACTTACAGTTGGTCCTGTGGTGTCAATCAACTCAAGGCAAGGTATCTCCCCTCTGTATTTCACCACTCTTGCCATCAGAGAAACCCACTGTGCACAGTGGCTGAGGTGGTCAAAGTCATCAATTGATTCTTGACTCCACTCACCATCTAAACAACATGAAGAGTGATTTTGAAGCAATAAGCATAATATAAATTTTGTACATTTATGACCATAAAATGAGTCCTTTCTTTCTGTAAAAGATAAAAATTATATTTATTAAATATTGTAGTGAGTTAATAGTCAGTCAGTTGAGAAAACCAAAAAGAGCACTCAAGAGACAAACAACAGTTGCTGTTGTTAAGGAAAACAGTTTCTCATTTTCTTTTTTTTATGCATGATGCCCTCTGTTTTTCACAGCCCTGATTTACGGCTCATTTCTACAAACTGAGAGTCTAGCAAAGGCCACAAGAATTATTGTAGGGAACTATGATAGTAATTAGAAGGCAAAACTGTAACCAGACAAGCAAAATATTTATTGTATAATGGTTATACACAAATGCATCTTTGTCAACAATTTTGTGACCCAAAAAAGATTATTCTTCTTTGTTGGGTGAGAACAGAAGGCAACACTTGTTGAAAATTTGCACAAGAAGCATTAGTTTGATCATCTACTACATTAACAGTGAACCTAGTCAAATGTAAAATCACGATCCTATTACACACACACTTTTCAGTCATAAACCAAAATATCTGAAATAAGGTGAATAAAAGCTCCCAATTTCGGTCTATACAGATAATTTTAATCTCACAATAACTTCTGATACTTCATTTAAACAGTAATTTTAATACTAAGTGAGAATGATAAATATGTATCCATGAATTTGACTGCCTTTTAGATTTTTTATTTTTTTGTATGTCTAAGCACCTGGAAACCTATGTAGTGTATATTATACCTTTAGGTGTTACACCTGCCAGCCAACATTCAACAGCTTGGAATGGTAGCCGCTTGTGTTCTGGTCTATAAAAGGAAAGAAAACCTCACTAAGTAAAGTCAGTGATACTTAGGGATAGCAACACTGCATTCATGCTACAGCATACAAAACAGTATTAAAATGAATTGACCAAAAAACATTAATTTACAGCTCAATTCAATCAGATACAATGTTGCTGTGAATCAAGACAAGTTATTGGACTATAATTAAATGATGATACTTGATAGCTCTCCGGAATTTCAACTGCTTAATTGTTCCATTATTTCAGAGTCTCACATAGATGTAAAGCTCTTGTTGGTATTTCAACAATGAGATCATTACCAACTAATTGTCTTTAAGCATCCAAAAGAAATATAGAATTGAACTGGTTTTGTTGTCTAATACCCTAAGAGACAAATTCCCGTCACCTTTTGAACCATTCATGCACAAAACTACAACAAACACGAACTGTTTGTTCTTCAGCAGGTTCCTTGCATTAACATTTATACTTAACGTAACGTACTCACTCACATCTTGGAGTGGACATTGTTTAGATAATTCATTACTGTTATGTTAATTTGGTTTTACAGCACTTGCTGAACAGTGCATTACATACTCAAGACTTCACTTACTGTAGTTCCCTTAATTTGTCTTTGGCAACCCTTCCTGAGTCTCCATAATCCACATAATACAAATCCACTACACCTTCTTTGTTGATTTCTGTAATACGGGCCCTGTACCAAGAGGAATCATACTCAAAGGGTGCACAGCAAATGTCTCCAACCTTAAAGGAATTTAGAACAGCTTGTGATTCAGAGGAGGCGTATAATAGTGTCAAGTTTTTTGTGAGCTGATCCAGATCAGGTGAGTCCTTAGTGAGTAGCTGTACCCAAAAATGTCCTGGATTTTCAAAAGCTGATACAAATACTTCAAAGAAGTCGTCTTTTGCAGGAAACTGTACAACCCCTGTTATTGGTGAAGCTAAAAGACAAAAGACATTTCAAATTTCAATAGTAAGTGATGTTTCAGCACCCCTGATTTAAACTACAGTGACTTAAGTAAGGAGCCATATACCATTTAATAAATTTTCTTAATTGTGGTTTGAGCTAATACTAATATGTAGCATCACTATTTTAGAAACTCATAATCATTTACTGAAAGCTTTCTATGATGTCTCTCATAATTGTTATAACTCCCTTGGAAAGTTGAAGAATGCATAACTCAGTTACCGATAATTAGTATTTCCAACTAATGTATATACAATTTTCTAAAAGGGAAACATGGCAAGGAAAGTTCTCTACTTTCAAATTAATAGCTCAAGTGTAAACAGACTGTCCACAAGAGTAAATGGAAAGGAGGTAAATGAATGAAGTAGATAAATGGAAGAGAAAGGATTTGATCTAGTGATTCAATTAATACAAGGAAGAAAACCAGGTAAGTGATCAAGAAACAGAGGAACACAATGTTGCAGTTTTCTCAGCAAAGGCTAAGCACAAGCTCAGACAGATAAAAATTACAGTAGCATACAATTTACATGTAGAATATTAATCAATATTAGAATATATTCAAAAAGTCTTCTATTCATTCACCTAGACCAAAAAAAAAAAGAAACAATAAATATATAAGTGATATACCAACTGCACTTTCAAGTTTCCTTGGTGGACGTCTATTTCTCGGCACTCCAGCATCTCCCCTGCGAGCACGAATTTCATTATCTTCAGCCAACTTCTCATTTAGTAGTCCCTTAGCAGTAGCTATTTGATCAGAAGTCCCAATGACTGTGCATTTCCGTATAGGGCTGGAAATGTCATCACCATTACGATCAATCCTTATTTTAGCACCTACCAAGTGATTAAAAACAAAAATTAATGACAGAAGATAGCATTGTACAAAAAACACCAACTTAAAGTCAAATAAGCCATCACAAATATTCACTTTTAACCCTTTAACTCCCAGGATCTGATTCTTAATTCTCTTCTCTGGCTGCTACACAATTCCCTCTGGGATAGTTACAAGAATTTGGTGTTTGATCAAGTTAAAAACTTCTACTTGATAAGCTGGAGTATTCTCATTAGCTGTTTGCTGGATAATGCATGGATATTATAGGGAGAAGTTACATGTTAATCACTTTGAGGAGTTAAAGGGTTAAAAATGTTCAGTTTCTCTTAACATGATGAATATTAAGAAACTTTAGAAATGACAAAATTATGATAGATCACAAATGTTGAGTGGAACACTAGTATTTACAATATCTGGGGATAAAGTTCGTTTCACTTTCTCCAAATGAATAAAAAACTTATCCAATAAAATTTTTGAGTTTTTTTTCAAAAAATAGTGTTGTCCCACAAGGGTTATGAAATCCAGAAACTTAAATTTCAGAGTAAATTATAGCTAGTTTTCTGGAAAACTACAGTCGAATTATCGTTGCTTTTCATTTGATCTTCTTTCCTTGCAAATCACGTTGGGTTCCCTTGTTGAATATTGATGTTTGCTTACTGTAAGATTTAGCTTCAACTCTTAAGGAAGTTTATTTTGCTCTAGAGTGAGTACATTTACCGAAAATAAACAAATGTAACTTTACCTGAAACAGATGACATATGACGTATTGTCTGTCCTCCTTTACCAATAATTCTTCCGCAAGCATGCTGGGGCACGAAAACTTCTTCCGATCTTATCACTGGTTGCTCTGCAATAACTTTCTTTACAACAATTTCGGCCCTTTTGACCTTTTCACGTTCTCCTTGAATAAGCAATGTTCTATCTTTACCTTGGCCTTCTTCATCTTCATCTATCAAATTCATACGAACTCCAGTGTCTTTTTCTATCTTTTTAATATTAGCTCCAGATTTTCCTATTATAACACCGACCACGGCTCGAGGGATTTTGACCTCGAGAGTTCTTTGGTTAGCGGATGCCACAACATCGCTTTCTTCAACGTGGCTAAAATCCTCATCTTCCTCTCCAAATTGGGAATTCTGCCGTCTCCTGTACCACAGATACAGTAATAATGCCACTAAAGGAACCCCAATTGCAATAGCCGCTCTCTGTTCGACGGAAATGGTAGGCATTTTTAATAGCTTCGCGAAAAATATTGCAAACTGAAAGTAATTGCAGCTGTGGCACCTGGCAGGTAAATGGACCCAAGTTGTCTGGAAACTAGTAAGTCCCTAAGGATCATGGTACATAAGGTCCTCCTGAGACCCCACATTTTAGGTCCCCTATGAAAGGGACTTAAAGAGTGATCCCAAATGATTACTATTCGGAAAATGGTCCTCTCGACGGGGATACGTGACTGAAGTACAATACGTGAGCAAAAACAACAATTTACGCCTGATCGTGACTGAAATGGTCCTCACACGGCAAGGAAGACAAGTCAGTAATTCGGCTTTGCCATTTCTGCCTTTGTTTCTTCGGGCTGCAGTCGTAAAAGGAATGAGGAGGGGTGGAAAAGAGTTGGGTATTCCTACAGGTATGACATAACATAACTGGTTTTCTATACTATTCTTATGTTTACTGATTCCGTGCGGAGCCGACTTTACAAATACGATCGATCATGTAAGTGTACATGTAAGCTTGTGAAGACGCGAGCTATCTTTAATGTCTGAGGCTAGAAAATAAACAGAAAATAACTAGAGGTGGTTTCGTGAAATGATTACTTTTTTGCAACTTGATCGCAGCTCAGAGAATACTTAGATAGCCTTAGTGGTATTGTCAGACTCCGGTTGTCTCGAGACAACCCGAAACAAAGATAGATAAATATTCAGCTTGCCTTAGATTTATAAAATTGGATACTCGAACGTGTTAATTTAACAAAAAAGGTCTAAAGATCACGTAGTATAGCCCAGTCATAATTTGAGAGGTCTTTTAGCAATGCTGTTAGGGTTTCTCAAGTCTAGCTCTCTTCCGTGGTACCTAAGTTTGGCTATTGCGCAATTTTTTATGGTCTGCGGTTTCAAACACGTGAAGAGCGACATCCAATCTGAAAAATCCTGTTGCTGAGAGTCACCCCTACTTCTTACGGTGGCTAAAATGCCTTCAGATATCATTACGAACTTTTGGCCATACTTTTGCCGAGGAGAAGTTGTTAAAGGTTTCGGCAGAGGAAGCAAAGAATTAGGAATTCCGACCGGTGAGTGTCGTGCGAAGAAATTGGATTCAAGCGGATCCAAGTGTTCGTTTTTCACGCAGTGGGAAAATAATATTACATCTACGTATTCGGTTCGGATTTACTTGTTGCCAATTTTGTTCTGAGAAATCGTATTTGACATTGACTGAAAGTGGATTAAGCTAGCGCTAAAAGTCGTGTTCATCGAAGTTCTTCGCGATGCTATTTCGGCCGTTGATTAAATTTCGGTGTGGTCATCATGCTGTGCTATTTGTAGCGGAACTTTGCGCGACTCACGCAAATTTTGCTGTGTCATATATTTATTTGCATTTTATTTTCATTTCTTTCTTCTGACCGATAACCTGGACTTAGATACTCGAGTGACATAGCACTGACAGAGTCCACTGAAAAATGTAATTCGCATTTAGTGTTCGATTACGTAGGCGTTTCTCTCTCTTTCTTTCTTTTTCTTCTGTTTAGTCAAGGTGACCTACGATCGAGCTAATAATATAATTCCCATTTTTCTTAAAAGAATAGGATGTCAAAATGGTTTTGTGGTTTTTTTTTCTGCAAAACAGGACACATGTGAGCGATGTGTTGTAAAAATCTTTCAGCTGTAGTGATATCAGTTATATATGAGAACAGTAGACTATCACAGAGTATTCAGTAAAGTGGGTAACATACACTAGAAAGGAGAGAGTATTCGTTAGAATTTGTTTTTAAAAGGATTCAAGTGTGCCATTTATTTGGACACTGGGTTTAAATTGAACCAGCTTCTGATTATGATGAAATTTCTTATATATCAAGACAACTTGCTTGGGGATCTATGCTGTCCAGTGTACATTGCTTAAAAATAAAACCAAACTAACTTTAAGTTCCCTTTGAGGAAACTGGTTAATGGAACTTGCTAGTCAAATGTGTAATCCCTTATCCAGAAGAATCTGATGCTTCTTCTTTTAACCCTTCAGCTCCCAAGATAATAATAATAATATACAGTATTTATAGAGCGCTAATTCCCAATGGTCCAAAAGCACTTTACATAATAAAAATAACAAAATCCTAAACCTACAAAACTACATTGTCATTCTATAAAAATTCCCAATGGTCCAAAAGCGCTTTAAATAATAAAAATAAGAACAAAATCCTAAACCTACAAAACTACATTGTCATCCTATAAAAACATCATCATTCTATACAACATCATAACCAATTTTAAAAAGCCACGTCTTGAGCTTAGATTTAAAAGAAGAAAGGGAATTACAAGATCTAAGTTCGAATGGAAGTGCATTCCAAACAGAAAGTGCGGCAAGATCCCATTAGTAATTCTCCTAACTGTCTGCCATATAGTTCTTGTGATGTTAGTTTGAGTAATCTGGTATTGAATCAACTAATAATCCCCTCATTAAGTTTTTTCTTTATTCTCATCACTTGTCTGCTCAATATTGTATTGATATTGTAAGGAGAAATTCTGTCTTGGTCACTCATGGGAGTTAAAGGGTTTATGTCTCTGATGATTTGCTGATATTCAAGCTCATCCAGGAATGTCAAAAGTTCTATTAATGTACTATCATCCTTTCTTCTCTGGATTAGCTCAAAGGCTGACCTGCCATTTTTAGCACTAATAGAGCTTCAGAGAGTTATAATAGACTGTTGGCCCCAAGATACCCTAGCATACATGCAGTAACCCACAGGTAAATAACCCTTCTTTTCTTTATTTGCAGCAAACTTCCCTACAAGTGTGGTGGATAATTTACCAGAGACAATAAGTACTGGAATATACTATGGTTGGGCAAGTGTTGATAGAGGACCTGTGTATAAGATGGTGATGAGTATAGGCTGGAATCCATTTTACAACAACACCAAAAAATCAATGGTAAGAGAAAGAAAAGGATACCTTGGATTCAGATCATTGATAGCAGCTCAAAGGAGTTTGAAACATCCCTCCGTAAAATATATTTTGCCGTTTATATTGAACAGTCCTATCTGGCAAATATCCTCCCTCTATGCTTAACTGTTTTAAAAAAAATTTGTGAAAATTATATTTGGGCAATTTTTTTATTTCTAGTGTATGATCAGAGGTAAACTTTGTTAATTTATTGGGTTTCAGGAGACTCATATAATTCATACTTTTGAAAGTGATTTCTATGGATCAGAGCTTAGTGTGGTTATCCTTGGATTTATTCGACCAGAAAGAAATTATCCTTCATTAGGTTGGTATTAGTCACATTTCTCAGTTCTTATGCTATATGCCTATGAATAGAAAAGGAAAGGGCACAACACTTTCCTCACTCTTTTTTATCCCTCTATCATTTCCTTTGCTGCCTTCTACATTTCAGTGTTGTTTCTCTATTTCTGTTTACTTGTCTGTTGATGTCATTTTTTACCATATGTAAAGAAAAAAAATATAGGGCCCACACCTGTGTTGATGTTCACAGTACCTTGTTCACTGGGCTGTTTTATTTCTCACCTACATATCAAATTCTAGAAATTGTTTACCAACTGCATAAAAACATTTTAAAATGTTATTGTAGGTGTGATCCCCCAAGGGATAGGTACAACTGTGCCATTATCACACCAGGCACTCAATTTCCTTTTTCAGGATCTATGTTGAACTTGTAACATGTGTTTTGATTCAACTGGGGTTTTCCAGCATACTAGGGCACGACTTTTACTGTTTCACTGGGGCTTAAATAGTTTCCTAAACATTTATTTCACTTATTTTTAATAATTAATTTTCTCTGTCTCAAGAAGGCTGTTGAAGTTGACCAGATTTGCTTCTTTTAAGTGCAGTATTCAAATTTTTTGTTCTTTGTGGCAGTAAAAATAATAAACAGTTTATACAGTTGCATATTTTTCATTTGAGTTTGGTTTAAATTTTAAAGTAAATATTGAAATATAATGGAGCAAATAGTGCTTGATTTTGAAAAGAAGCCCATGACAATCAAATACATGTACTTGGTGTCAGAGTGGAGGAATATGTGGCAGATCTTGAGATAATATATAGATTAAGCCAAGCCTAAAAGCAGAGCACACATTTTTTTTTCTCGCACATCTCAAGGGCACAACGCCTTGCCCCAGCCAGGACTAGAACCTGGGTTGTCAGAGAGGAGGAATACATGGTAGATCCATGAGATATGAGTCGGAAATTACAGAACAAGTTATGCCTAGATTCCTGCATTCTGTGAACAGAGTTAACCACACTCAGGTTCTGTGATAAAAGAACTAATGGCTGTACTTCTGTTTCAGAATCTCTCATAGAAGCCATTCATTCAGATATTAAGGAGGCTGAACAAGCTCTTGAAAAGACTGAAAACAAAGAGTATGCATCACATAGCTTTTTCAACAAAACGGATGATTGTACATAGCTCATAAACTTCATTTACCAAGAGTAGTTTTAGGCCATATGACCAAGTGGTGTAGCTAGCGAGCATGGCCGCTGTACAAAGGGGAAGGAAGGGATAGTGTACATAAGTGTTAAATGCAGTTGCAGTTGCTAATTGTCTTATGATTCTTCCCCCTCCCCCTCCCCTCCCCTCCCCCCCCCCCAACACACATTGGCTTCTATCCCCTATGAAATATATCGGCCATGTAGCCTAGTTTTGAACATATATGCAAACGTTTTTAATTTATGCTTGAACAATAACACTAAAATATTATACATAAACCTGAGAATGTTTTGGGTTGCATTGATGAGAAAAGAATGGAAACTTATCATGCACAAGTACGCTGTACACTTGATAAGGTTCACCCAATGATTGAGGGTCGAGGAAAAAAGATATCGATAAATTGAATTCTTATACTGTTGTTCAAAACTTTAGCCATCTACAAAATAGAACTGAGCTCAAAAAATGTTGTATTATAATCTTGAGATGTACCAAGTAGCAGTAACCATTATTATTTTGGTGCACAATATGTATTAGGAAAAAATATTATGTGTTTAACTATGTGACCAGTTCAGCCCATTTAAAACGGGAATAATTAACGATGGATTTTCTTCATCTTGACAGTTTGTTCAGGGCCTGTCTGTCTGCCTGTTTGGCTAAAACAGAGTGTTTAAGTTACCATAACAAAGAATTAAGCGAAACCTTTTATTAGATAAATTAATTAAATTATCTCATCGATCAAGGATATATTTATAGTTCAACTTCAATCAATTGGAAGTTTCAAACCTTATCCTAGTGGTTTTTGTTCTCAAGGAAATAAAGAATTGGGCTGTTTCTATTTGTGAAATGAATATATAAATAAAAAAACCTGATTTGATTATGCAGTGTTTGCTTGTGGATGAAGTCCACTTTTTCAATAGATATCGAGCAGTTTTATCAGAACAGGACGTTTGCACTCACCTTTGTGATAATTGCATGTTATCATCAGAATTATTTTCTTTTACCATAAGAGGTTCCACCGTCGTTCTAAGGTTCCTGCTCTTTCGTGGTTTGTTCCTTTTGAAGAATTAAGCCTACATTTTAAGAACGTTATTTGCAATCCGTGTAAGCCATTTTTACATCCTAAACACGAACGAAGAGTTCTCAGAGTTCTTGTCGTAATGTAACGTGAAATTCTCTATGCTGAAACACAATGAAGTGTAGAGTAGCTGGAAAGAAAAAATATACAGTCAAATCTTGAGGAGTAAGAGGTCAAAGAGTTGTGGACAGAGTGAATACGTGCGAACGTTTTTTGTTATAAAAATATCACTTCCGCTTCCTCAAACTTGAAATCTTATCTTTACGGAAACGGTTCTTTTTGGCTTAAGGACTGGTGAACAGGAATGAATTGAAAAATTAAACAGCAGAAAAAATTGATAGAAGATTCGAATTTGATGATCTCTGCAAAAATGTCGAGTGTTTGTACGGATTTTTCCCAAGTTTAGACGGCCATTACATTCTTGAGCAATATGCATGTCACGTGATACGTTATCCTGTGGTCCTGCATCTAACATCGGTACGACAAAGACCTTTATCAACACAAAAATGTTTTTGCCCTTGACTTATGAAGTGGCGATCGCTAACATTTCATAATTAAGGATCATTTGTTATTCCTGGGATATTAGGGAAACATAACGTGTCAATTCCCTTCCCAGAAAAATGGTCAGAAATGTATACGTAACGAAGCCCATCTGTAAGTGGTTGAATCTAACCACAACTGATTTTATGACTTTTTTTTTGGAGATGAGAAGTGATTTGACAAATTTGCTGATTAGCGCCAAATGTTGCCTTCGATACGAGATCAACAAGATATTTGGCTTGATATGTGACTTTTGATGGTGACGGTTGCCATATATGTGAGATTTTGACAGTCGTGATATGTGCTCGACGAAAATGCTCGCTGCCATTTCAAGCTCCTGAAACTCGATAGCATGTAATATCTGGGAAATACGATAGAGAAATTTCGCCATTGAAACCGAAAACGTCTCTCGGCTTTATTAAGAGCTGTAGAAAAATGTGTTCGGGGAGCGAACTGTCTTGTGTGAGAGGTGAAAATGCATGGCGCTTTCCTCTGTCATCGGGACTGCTTGGGTTTGTGTTAGGATTGTCAACTTTTGGTGCAGCGATGAAACTGTCAGAATACAAGGACAGTCCTAGTCTTCCTCCGATGATAGCTGCAATACCAGTAAGTACAACAACAAATCAATAACAAACGTGTTTGTCAAATCCTTTGTGCACCGTAATTATAAAGAATAAATTGTATTAAAACCATTGTCAGGTTTAAAGCGTCAATGACGTTTCATGGAAGTGTTTTCTTTAAATTGATCGATTCTTGGACAGATTAGTACTTAAGAAATCAACGAAAGTTCTATCGTACCAGTAAGTCTCTTTTAGACTCAGAAATCAGCAAGCTGAATTTAAGAGCTTCCGTGAGAAACAAATAAACGATCACATAAGAGCTAAAACTTATGTTTCTCATCGAATGTGATATTAGGTCACTAGAGCAAAAATTAACTTCGAATTAAGTAACGCGAAATATTTCCCATCTTTTGATTGAAATTTCAAGAGATTTTACTAAAGCCTTTCAGTGAAATTTCACCTGCTGAGTGGAAATGGAATCCATAGAATTATAAAGAATAATGGAAGACTGCAAAGACAAGTGAAAGAAAAAATGAAATGTAATAAAAACAAAACGTCACGAGATGTGCACATTCCTGTTTCCTGAAAGAGGCAGTAAAGACATGAAAATAATAAAGTACAATAAATCAAAGGAGTGGAGTGTGGGATGCATTGGGACAAAAATATTCTGTAATTTTTCTTTCTTTTTTTCTCTCTTATCTAGATGTTAACTGCAGGGCTTTCAGGTATGGTGGGAGGACGAATGAGGAAACGTTGGCTGGTACGTAAACATGTTTTGTATTCTATCGAAAAAGAATTTCTTGGTAATTCAGTTCCAACCGAAGTGCCCGGCAGGGAATTCGAAGGGAGTGGAGACCTTTCCTTCATGAGCTTCTTGGGAATGCTCCGCCCAAAGAGCACAATTTGTAAGCCGTTTCGGTCTGAAAACGCGTGTAGGTTTGACGATGATAGTGTGGCTTAAATTAAATTTTTTAATGGGACCACGAGTGAGTTTAAACAACTCCTAATGAATTAAAAGAGAAAGAGCAGCAACGAACATAGAACATTCGAGCTGAATGTTTGAATGAATTCATGACTTTGCCACTGATGCGAGGCTTTATTTCTCAGTTCTACAAAGCTTAATGGTTTTGCATATCCATTAAAATTTCAAGTACCAGCTCTCTAAAAACTGATACAGAATACGGCACGCTATGATTTGAAATTAGGGTCACGATTTCAGAAACTGAGCTGCACCTTTGCATTAAGAATTCATGGCGGCAACCCATTTCCCTTCAACTTAACAACCAAGAAATTTCCATAAGAAATTACCCATAAATAAAAAGAATCAGCCATTTTGGCCTGGTTGATAGATGCTTCAATAGATAGAGTTTGAGTGTGTAAAATATACAAGCCTATAGTGAAACCCAGGTCGGATCGTTTCTGTAATCTGAAGGGCCCAGTTGTATATAGGGCAGATAGCAATATCCAACGGATAAATCGCTATCCAGCGGATAAGTGATGGTGAAACGTATAGCGTTATCTACCGGATAGAGATTTATCTTAGCAGTGGATAGCGTTATCCGACCTTACAACAACTCGGGCCTAGTGTTTAAGTCCTCGAAGAGGAAAATGACCAATAGGAACCCATTCCGGAATCATAACCCCGCAGCCCGATACTCGCTGCCCTTCCCCCCCCCCCTCCCCCGACCTTATTACCGCTTGCATGACTTAAATCCGACGTGTTTATCAATGTTTATGTAGCCAATATCACTTGACTGGTTTACGCGTTCGCTTTCCTTTTTTTTTTCTTCATTGACTTGTGTCATAATTGTAATGAAAGAGGGAAGAAGCAAAGACAATACGTACGTATGCAACCCTACTGTCCTTCTTTCCACAGATTTCGCTGCACATGGGTCTTTGTTTGGTTACAGGAGTCTTTGGTCTTCATCTTATGTTCCTTTTCATGGGGAGAGAGGTTAAATCAAGAAATATTCATAAGGCTAAATGTCTTTCCAACTACCAGGGATCTTGTAAGCTTACTTCATTCTTGTTGTACGTTGCGTTTATGTAATCTAAAAACCGGACTGACACCGCATATTACTTGTGGTGGAGGAGCTATAGGTGGTTTCCTTATAAGGGAAGGGCTGATAAGCAAACTAGTGATAAGTCTAGGGCGGCGATGTCGACTGGAACATGGAAGTGTAAAAACATGGCAAAACTTTTCTTGCCTAAGTTAAAACTGAGTCTTTGTGTCTCTGTTCCTCCTCCGGCACTAGACGTTACTTTGCTGCTCATTACTTATTAAACTCTTCTGTCGCCTTCTCTGTCTATGAATGTTAAATACGCAGCTCTGATATCGTTAAATATCGTTTAAGCACGAACAATAATCATATGATGCGTATGTCCTGTTTCAGATTACTGCCACAGATACGCTACAACTGTTGCTATGTCAGGACTATCTGTTCTAGCGATTACGTTAGCTCCTTTGGGAATTTTATCATATGCCGTCATCAGGCAAATATCTGCGTATAACGTCAATGAAGTCCAGGTAAGTAACGGTAAACATCTAATTACCATAAAAGCTTTGATATGTTCTCCTCTCTATCGAGTCTCCTTCTCAATTAACTTGATTTTTCTGAGGTAAAAAAAATTTTAGAGATTGATACATCTCTACCCGCTGATCTATCCCTACGACACGACCATTAACTTCTTCTTTTTAACATTTTTAACGTTGTTTTTCTATTTTTTATTTCCACTATTCCAAAGGAAGCAAATAATCCAGCCTTTGAACCCGAACTATCTCCGACTAAGACAACAAATGAAGACCAAGTAGAACATCAGCATCAACAATTTTTTGATAGAGCTGCAAATCATCCACGTAAAACTGAGCCTAAACCAGAGAATCAACGACTAGCAAACTTTAAAAACTCACATGGTGATGAGTGTCTTCCACCTAATCTCAGAAAACCGTACGGTAGTGATCTGGTAACAACTAATCCGTCTCAAAATAAAGTGCGGAATCACCGATTTCTTCACCATAAGAAGCCGCATGACGATATGCGACTTCCGCCCAATCAACGACCACCTTACCGGGGTGATCAGGTAGGAATTCCTAAACCTAGTGCTCAGTCTAAACCGCCGCAGAATCTGGGTCCACTTCACCAGAAAAACTCACATGGCGATAAACGACTTCCACCCATCCACAAGCAGTCGTTAGGTAACAATTGGGCAGAAAATCAGCCATCTAAAACTGATCCTAGACCGCAGAATCACCGAGCACTTTACCATAAGAACTCTCATGACAATACGCGACTTCCTCCCAGATACAAACAACCTGACCATGGCAATCGAGAGTCAAGTGAACCTCGCAAAGGTGAATCCCAACCCAAGAATCTCCGACCACCTCATAACAAATATAAACATGGCGATGCGCAACTCACAGACAGAGACGTGAATCGCAGACAGCCTTTCGAACACAGACCTTCCCGTGACCTCATGAGGTACAGTAGGCACATATGTCAGCAGCAAAACATGAATCAAGTTTCCAGAGCACCAACGACACGGTTTGGACAAAGTCACGTGCCATTGGCCAGTGGCAGAGTAGTGAAAGGTATATCGAACACGACAGATAGCTCGTCTGCATAAAAGGGTGTGTAAATTGCCAAACTTTTGTACAACGCACAAATCGAATACATGATGTAGAGGCTATGAGCTCGCTCGCTTAGGTCAATAAAAGTCACTTCGCTAACGTTTCGTCAGGAAACACAGGGCGCAGAAAGACTTTTAGCACGTTTCGATATAAGATGATTATATACTCCATTTTTTTTCATCTCTTCAGCATTCATAAGCATTCTTGCCATCATCAATTTTTTTACACCCATTTTATTGCTTATGCAACCATTCCTGTAAATGGTTATGCGAATAAATTTCTGATGTCGTTGTTAAAAGGACGTACACAATTCAAAGCTTTAAATAGACAATGGCAAACTATTCGTTCATAAATTAGCAGCCTACGTTAAGTATTGTTGTAATGAGTTTTTATAAGTTAAGGTTCAAGGTCTCTCATTTTTCATCTCAAGAATTAAGTCCAAGGCTATTCAAAGTTAAACCCTTATAAGGAGTTCCTTGATTTTAACTGTTTTGACTTAGAGTCGGAGTGCCATTTTTTTTAGTGAGCATGTCTTCGAAATTGACACTGACCTTGGACCTCATCCATACGAGTGTTCCTGTTTGGGTTTCCAGTTCAATTTTGTAGTCTTACCATTCGAATAACATCAGCTGTATACTTTTTTGGTTGATCACATAGCCAGTTTGTTTTCACGCATTGTTTTAAAAAAACAGGAAGCGTAGGAAGAGTTCTCACGCTCGGAAAACCCAAACACGTCTACAATTTAGATACCTAGGAAACCACAAATTGGTTACTTTTCTCTTATGTAGTTGTAGATGTGAGAGGCGGAATTATTTTGAGTATTGATTAGCCAAAAAAATGAACGGTGCCAATGTCTGTGCGCAAGGACGGAGAAGAATAAATAGACAGGTGCAGATCCTTGATCCTTTCAGCTAAATGTAAAATGCTCGGGATTTCCCCCCAAAAGCGTAAGAAATCAGTGGGACGTATGATTACGAAATTACGCTCTTTCAACTGAAAAATCTTAATTAATTTCCACAGAGGTGTTTTTGGGGATCTTTGTAATTAAAAAAAAATGTGTAATTAGCTGGATAAACTAAGGTGTAGCTAAGGGGAGTCTTAGATGTACTTGCTAATTCCAACGGATTTAGAAAAACCATCATTGAGTTTTCGTACGAATAGCTTGATAATCCCTAAATCTTCGAATCCCGTTTTGATCAAAATCTGAATTCCCCCCTCTGACGTCTTGAATAGGCGCCCCTCTTTCTGCTCGTTTTCATGGACGCAATAAGACATTATAGGACATGTGTTTTGATTGTGTTTATTCAGCCACGTTCGTCCAATCTTGCACGCATATGTCACACTTAAAGCCTTCTTTCAGTCTGTCAACGGGTTAAGTTTGGGGAAACTGATCACGAATAAAAAGAGCAGCTGAAAAGTGCCGCTGTTAAAACTTTAGGATGAGCTTCGTGTTGTCTTTATGCGCGAATGCTGTCCTACAACTCTCAAAATGATAACATCTAGTCAAGATCCGGGGAAACCTTAAAAAGCACCTTCCTTATTTCTTGAATGAACTCTCCCTTGCCTTTTCGTCAGTTTTCAAATCAGCCAAGTACCTCCAAGGTGCTTATTAAAAGGCGAAGGTATCCTTTGATTCCAACCCGGCTGATGAAGGGCCCCATACTGGGTCGGATCCTGTCAACGTGTTGGTACATTCTGCTCTATAACCTAGAGTAAAACTTAATTAATATGCGGATGAGGTGCTGAGGTATGAAGAGTTTTTAAATTTGCTGAGACAACAAGCTTCTAAAGCATCACACTACAGTTCCTAATTGTTTTCCATTTCCAAAGCCGTTGTCTTTCACTGGTGACATGCTTGAGCTCCCTACCATCGCATCGAAGTCTATAGAATAAACGCTTTGGTTACTTGACTGTCGTTTACGACTGAGTCTGGATTTTCTGTCCACGTGCTCCGGAGTTCCTAGTGACACAATGGCCAGTTGATCGCCACTCTGTAGCAGAGGTAATGTCATGGTGTTAAAATAAGCGTGCGATATATCATGCAGACATCTTCGATAAAACCTGCCATAAGCTTTTCGAGTGGTAAGACATGCCTTAATCGTTCAGTCCTCTAAGTTTTACACCAAGGACCTTACAGATAAAACTGAGTTCGTTTGGCCGGAGCTATTTTCCATCTCATCCAGGTGCAACCAGCGAAATAAACGGAGTTCATTGCAAGGTTCCTTTTGTCCCACAGTGCAATGCACCACGGTATTTACAATTAACACTATAACCGTGATATGCGTTTCACCTTCAACTTGGCAATGTTGTCTGCCATTTTTACCGCTTGTTTAAAGAGCTAAATTATCTAAGGCAAAAGAAAATCTCTCAATTCTGCAACTTACCGAAATAGCACAGCAAAGTAGCTGAGATGATTCTATCACGCCTGACAGGGAAATGGCAGACTCCAGAATCAAGATGCTTATTAAGGCGATCATCAGAGTTGATTCTGTGTCATACGGGCATTGTACTGTTCGTATGAGAAACAAATTCATCCATTATAAGGGTTGTCAGTAACTGAGTTTTCAAGTGTTAAGAGCCAAGGTGATCGTGTGATTAGAGTGCCACAAATTCTAAAACTTATTTACAAGTTGTATTTCTGTTTAGCGGATCGAGAGAATGGGGCGCAGAATCCTGGTGGAAAGTCATTTTCAAGTCCGCAACGATCTGGCTTCCTATCTGGATTTTATTCCCTTTTAATTTAGGTTTATCATCAGTATCCTCCTCAGTGTTTTTCTATTGAACCAAAGGAATATTTTTAGGTTTCTTTCACGTCTCGAGAAACAACGTAAGAGTCTCAAGGCATTATCATGCGGATAAAGCTCACCGTGCTCACATTCACCCGCTGATCTCCGCGCAGTCAGCGTGATTCCCACGCACGCGGCAACGATTGCTCCGAGGATACACGAAATGACACTAGCAGCGAAAAAAACACCTGTCTGATAACAGAAATGTCAAGAAATACGTTCTCAGTGAGTAAATTTTGACGAATATAACTGGTTGATTGTAAATATACAATAGAAATAGTATCGAGTTGTGTGAAGAAACTTTCGTAGACACGGTTATCACGAGAAAGCCTCAATCAAGCGTTAAAACGTAGAAAAACGTCAAAAACTTACCGCAATGAATTTGCCACTTATTCCCCCGAATATTCCAAAACTTCCAGCGACGACGATCTGAAATTATTCGAACTGTTCAGTACACAGTATTGCACGTCCCATCGGCCCGTTTGGCCGTTTTCTTGGTAACGAAAAGGGATTTTATGGCAAACCTGCGATTATTATTATTATTTTTTTCATGTTCTTTTGTTGTGCAGCACAAGATTTGTAAGAGACCAAAAGGCCCAATCAGCAAAGCAATTTGTCATGACCGATTGATTATCTTTCTATTTTCATACAGTCTATGAAAATTAAGGGAGTCGGTCGACTTTCCCTTCTCAGCGCGAAAATGATTGATTGATTGATTAATAACTAGGAAACAAAAGTAAGAAACAGTAATTTATTCAGTAGTCGATCCATTATCCACTCACACACGCTAATGTGTTTTCTCAAAGCTGTATTTGTCTTTTCGATCTTTCACGTCGTGCTTTCAATCCGATATTTTTGCCAAAAAGAAAATATTTCTTTGTGAACAACCCGCAGAGTTTTACTTTCTTTTCTCGTTTAAATTTTATCAGGAAAGTTAACACTATCTCTGATGGATTTTAAGCTAACAGCGGTCCACTTGCACGGCAAAATACAGGACAATTTAAATTTTACGGTGAAAACTGTTAACAAGTTGTCAATAAATGAACCAAGTCGAAGTTGCAAAAATTTCTATCAAAATGTAAATGATCTATGTAATTAAAAGAAACTTACGATTTATACTGACATTCAGGAATTGCACGTTTTGACAAAATCAACAGTAGAAATTTCGTTCAATCACTGTAGGTGAATGCAGGAAGCTTATGGTATGATTTTTGAATGATAATTTTTCTTTTTAAAGAGATCGAGTGATTAAAAAAGCACGAGCTACATAATTAGGCTATGGAGCATTAAAATAACCTTTTGTGGGTTGGAAAAAGATGACATTTAATTCTGATGAGATGTTTAAAAATTAATGGACGTAATTTGAAAGAGTTACACTGACGAAAATTTATCGACGATTCAGTAAGATTTTCAGCGTAGTACTATGCGTTTCTGACTAAATTAAAACACCAGTCTATCAAGAACTAATCAATTTTTCTGTTTTTCGAGTGAGAATCAAATTTACGAGGTAAAAATTTGACTCAAAATGCTGCTAAGCAAACAGGTGTGATGATCCCAAATGAAAAGATGAATTGATGTGAGCGTTAGTTTTCCTTCGGCTCTGAAAAGCTTTTCCAAAAGTAGCAAACTAAAACTGAATTTCTTTGTAGAAGTTATCAGGAGAAAAATTTTAGCTTTACAGAGTATTAATGGAAAATTAAAATAAAGTAAAATTCGTGTTTGTTGTTCGAATGAGAAATATTTTTTTCTCCAGTGTAAATATTACTGTGCAGCTGTTGTTGTTAACAAGAATATATCTAGTTTAAACGTTTCTATATATTAACAAAAAAGTCGTTGCTCATTTTGTGAGAAAATCCAGGCATAGAAATGAACTTTGTGTTACTTCATGTGATTTCTTCTTGCTTCTAAGCGAAATTTATCTGGCTTGAAAAAAAACTTTTTACAATAGATAGGGGGAAATCTATGTTCAAGCTCTTCTTCTAAAGCTGCTTGCGTCTCTACGATACTTACGGGAACAGCTCCCCAATAAGTAACACCGGTTTCAAAAATCTTCCCAAGGTCATCGCTCCTGTTGCTCAGAACAAAACTCAAGGCGAAGACACAAAATCCCAGAACAATCTGGGAGATCCCTGTGCACACGACTTGGTTCGCTCTGTTTTCTTGAAACGCCATTCAAATTCTTGTTTGAGGTAAACTTAATCTTTCAGGAAATATATCTGCCAGAGTCAGAGTCAATCACGCAAGACTTGGACATCGGGCCTAATGAAAGCGTCCACTTCATATTCGCCCAAGGGCACAAAGGCCATTTCCTTTTGCTTTTATTTGCACTAATTTTCTTATCGCAAATGCAAAGTATGTTTCTGATGAAGTGGTAATTATCGCTGCATAATGTAATCACGTCTTACATGACACGTTCTCAAGGTTTCCATAGCAACACGGCAGATTGACTGAAGAGAATCGGTGTTTAGTTTATCACTTCGGCACTAAAAAGATTGGATCGTGTTCTTAATTTCTTGAGTAATTTTGCACAACTGAGTCGCCGTGTTATTCTTCGGTGAACGTTCTACATTTCTGGGCTTGGTGTTGTTTGTAGGACAGTACAAGAGGAACAGTCACACACTACTGATTGGAAATAAATTAATTTCGGATTAAGTGAAAAAGAGGACTTCATATTCAGTATTTGAAAATACGGTAGCAATATTATTTAAGTGTCTTTAGGTTCTTTTTTTGTGTGTGTCAACTAGTAATTTTATCTGAAGGTTTTTTTTTTAAAGTTTTGTTTCCCTCCCGCCTCGATTGGCTTCGGTATTTTACGGGTAGGGACTGTTAGATATGTATTTTAATTGCTAAAATAAATATTTTCTTTTTGTTTTGTTTTTTGTTTTGGGCGAAGGTGCGACCATGCCGTAGCAACGGATAGTATCCGAAACTACAGTATGAAAGATCCTCCCAAAATTTTGAAAATGGAAGCAGAATCTCTAACCTTTCCTTTTTTATGGCCAGCATTCTTTCTTTTAAGACTATTTTGCTATGTATATCACCTATCGCTTAACAGAAATAAAAGCAACTATTTTTCTTTTATTTTTAGATTTTGCAGAATCGAACCGTTCAAACGAATACCTCAACAAAGTCACACGAAGAGAACATGGAAGATGTAAATTAAAGGTCTCCTACGCGAAAGTCTTCTCTTTCTTTAGTTTCTTTGGACATGCAGTTGATGAAAGTAAAGAATTTCAACTCAATAACCTAAAATACCGCGTGTTAATTGACTTAAAGGGAGGACTGGATAGGAGAATTGTTAGCTGAAGGTCCATACGATATGGCCCCAAGCCAAATGTTTTCCCTTCCGATTCGACCTTACTCCACCATTAAGCATTTTATCGTATAATAAACTTTAGCCCTCTCTCTTTCTTCTTACTTTATTGATTTCAATAGGTCATATGCTGGGTGGAGAGGAACTATTTGCGCTTCTCTGTAAGGCCCTTATACAGTAATCTATAATTGTTCTTTCCCAATAAAAGCTTGGGCTAGGCCAGATGAGTCCCGAACTGTACTCCCCATCTAAAGAATACTAGTCCATTGCATACAGATGCCCCCCCCCCCCATGTTCTTGGGTGGAGAGAGGCACTGTGACTGAAATATATTTCCAGAGAACACAAGTGGCCTTACGAAGGTTATAACTTGAGCCACCCAACCTGTGTTTTGGTCACAAAATCATATATTACCATATGCAGTGATACAAAGTGGTTCACATGTGCAGTTAAGTGTCTGTTAAGATTTTGAAACACTTGTGAACAAATGATCATATGTTATTTCCTAAGAAACTACACACATTGTATTAACCAAGATAAAAAATTTAACATAAATACTCTGTACTTCCTAAAGAAATGCAATTTCCCAAGGTGAAAGATCTTTATTTCTTGTGTTTTCATATTTGTGTATTCCAAAACAAAAGGTATTTATGCTATGCCATATTTCTGAAGTTTCAAATAATACTATAATTCATTGGCCATTATTTCAGCTAGTTTATCACTAAAATAGTCCTCAACTTTTGAAGAAATTTTCCCTTGTCTTGCATGGAACTCAAGCATTTCCAGTAACAGACATCTTGTTTTGGCAGATGAGTTATCAGAGAGTATAGTGTCTCTCATCATTCCCAAGAGTTCCTCTGCTTTCTCCTGTCCAGAAGAATCAGCAAAATGTAGTTACACAAAGTTAGCCAAATTAATGTACATGACTACCACTGATAGAAAATAGGACTGTCTCCTTAGACCAAGGTTTGAAGATAGATACATGAAAGATTCACTTGCATATAGAGGTTCATCTTTTCAAAATATCTTTATCTACCATGACAAGGAGGAAGAAGCTTCCAATTTGAATTATCTTAGGCAGCAGTAAGTCCTAATTAAAATTCTTATTTTTCTGTTTCTTAGTGATTGGTTTTTGCTAAAAATATTAATGGGTTTTTGGATTTGATATCCAATGTGGTTTTTGGTGTTTCCTATTTGACCTATTTGGGTTCCAGTTTCTCTTCGATCTGAGTGGCAATTACGTGCCTCCACTGATCTCAAACAGCAGCTAATTGCAAATGTTAACAAGACAATTGCATGACAAACCAATTGAATTATTGCAGGGATCCCTAAGTAGCGTCTGTGTAGCCATACCCTTCCCCCCCAAGGTGAGGGGAAGAGCAACTACACGGAGGGTACAGCTAAGCACAGAACATTGTCAGGGTTTCTTTATCAACGCCACCTTGGAGTTGGTGACCAAGTTACAGGCCACATGCGACCGATTGATTCAACATTCCAATTACATCTCTAAACTTTCAGGTCTTAGTTCATAAATGGAAATGTTAGATTAGGGATTTTTGATAAAACTTTCCAGAGCTATAGCTTTCTGTGACTGTAAAATTGCAATCCTATGAAGGTCTTTAGTGTGAATTTCCTTAATTTAACTAGGCTCCATTACCAGCTGCTGAGTCTGCAGAGACCATGCTCAAGGTCCTGAAGAGAGCAGCTGTTAATTTAAGCAGATACTAGAAGATACGAATGCCAAGTCCATAATCCATAATAGGCCCCAATGCCCCCTTCCTAAATGTTTGATTCAGCTGTGATAAAGTAAAGAGAAATTGAGTGCGGGTCACTCTTGGCGGTTAGAAGGCTAACACAACCCTGCTTTTACCTACCTGATTAACGGTCTCCAAAAGAAATCCTACACCTTTAAAATTCTCATAAAAACAGTCTATTTCATCTCCTTCGAGCTCTTCATCATTATTGCCGTTCTGTCCTTCGCTCGATAATAGCTCACTCAACGTCTGATGTACCGCTGCTGCTAGGGGTCTTAACGGGGCCTCACCAGTTCGAAGATGACGAAAAAGTTCGCAAATAAAACACGCTAGCCCGATCCATTCGCTTGTGGAGTTCGCACGAATACTTTCTCTCTTCTTGTACTGTTCTTGAGTAGATTTCAACAAATCGCCTCTAAATGCAATTCCAAATGATTCATCAGAGCAAAGCTTGTTAGCTACTTTGGCAGCTAGAGGTGCAAAATCGCTCTTCTTGATCGTCCGCTGAATTAAATGATCAACGACGTCCTTAACTTTCGTCGATGAACTAGATTGTGAAATGTGGTGAGAAATTTCCTTAACTTGTGTGTCCAAAGTGTTTTCCCTTAGATCGTTCAGCACCTTTGTCAAATCAAATTCATTAGACGATTTTTCTGTTGAAATATCAGCTTGCTGCTCAGATTTTTCTCCCGATTTGCCCGGCTTTGGTACTCCAAATCCACCTCTGCCTCGACCACGGCCTCGTGCAGCGGCCGCCATCTTGATCACCAGTGCCAGTTGCTTTGTTACCGGGAGGCACTAGGACCAGTAAAGCTTTTCAAGTAGCTCCTCACTGGGGTAGGGTTGTACACCTTCTGTGTTTAATTCATTTTCACCGAGTCTGTGTTCTGATGTGTTTCAAGATTTTCGACAAACCAAATTATGAGGTTGCGAAACTGTTTTTAGAACGAAAAAAGAACGTTATTCTGAACTTCGTAGTACAAAACATTTTTGCCAAGCCTCCACCAGTCCGGTTCACATTGTAATAATACCCAGTACACTTTGCGAAACGCGATACCAAGATGGCGCTTGAAGTAGAGTCTGCCGAGTAAGTGCACTTTAATGTTGTTATTTGTGCATGTAAAGGACTGATGCTCCAACCATTACCTCTGATCAAATCACTAATTGATAATATTTCCAAGGTTATCGCTTTATTTTTCGAGAGAGCTAAATTATTGGAAAAATTATCCAAGAAGTAACCACGTGTAGGGGCAGAAATTACGCGACGCCGATTATGAAAGTCAGTGCAGACGAGCAGGCAATTGTTTTGATGGCGTAGGGTGATAGAATATTCCTTTCATGAGGGGAACTAAGATAACCGTTTGGTTTGATCTACAGTCAGGAAAATAGCGGCAAAATAAATTTGTTTTAGGAACGATCGTCTTGAATGCTCTCTATTCAAACAGCTCTACAGCGTTGGCTGTACTTGTTGTTGTTGTCAGGTAGCTTTTTCGATAATGGTACTAGGACGGAGAGGAGTTCAATTCGGTTTGTAATCATTCGAGTGATCAAAAAAAGCGGACGACCGCGAAGCAGGAGTCCTTTTTGTTAATTATGAGTATGATTACATACAGAATTGTACGACACGAAGTCCAGTTGCCAATTAATCAAAACTATGACAAAATTTTAAAAAGAAAGAAGACATCGGTTATAAGTTTTCATAAAAAAGCAGCAGTTAACTCTGCAAAATACACAACAACAGTGCATGCACATGATGAGTACTGTCCATTTATGCAAGCATGATTGCATCAACTGTCCTACCAATGATAAAATCAGGCTGGTGATAACCAATCAAGTTTGAGAATTTTGTTATAATTTTGATTAGTTTTAGAAAAAAATAGTTGAGGAATTTCATGTACCTTATCAAGCACCTGATCACTTTACTTAGTAACCATGGACAATTGATTCAAACAAAGGTACAATATAACATGATAAGAAACAACAACTCTCAGTGGAAAATCAGACTGCATCTACAAGAGCAGGCAAGGATAAAAACCTGAGTAAACTAAGAAAAAAATCCAGCAAGCTCTCAGAGCAGGGCACAGATTGAATTAAGGACCTGATGATGTCAATTTGTTTAACTAGCTGTGTCTAATCAATTCACAGTTTGGTAATATTATGACTTGATTTAAATTTCAGTGTGATCCGACTGATCCAACAATTTCTTAAAGAAAACAGTTTACCAAGAACCCTTGCAACTTTGCAGGTACATTAAGAGTAATAATAACTGCTGTAAGAAAAGCAACTGAAAGAAGATATTAGAGAATTTCCTTCTGTGTGCGTCAGGAGGTGCTTGCTTCCCATACGTAAATGTAAGAATTGGAATCCCTGTGGTTTCCATTGTTGTGTTGTTAGCAGTATGGAACACTTAGTTTGTTATGTTTCCTGCAGGAAGAAACTGGAATTACCTTGAATACTGTTGACAGTGTAGAGAGTTTTGTAGGGGAAATAAACAATGGCCACTGGGATACAGTCCTTCAGGCAATTCAGCCACTCAAGCTACCTGACAAGAAACTTATTGACTTGTATGAACAGGTAGGGGAGACCTTTCTACATTGCTCACATTTATTGAAGCAGAATCTAAAAGCTGTTTGTCATCATGGCAGCACATTTCTCCTCTTTCTCTTTGTTTGTAGTGTCCTTAACATTTGAAATTGTGTTATAATTGTGATGTAGATTGTTTTGGAGCTCATTGAGTTGCGTGAACTGGGAGCTGCAAGGTCATTGCTGCGCCAAACAGATCCCATGATCATGTTGAAGCAACAACAGCCTGATCGATATCTTCATCTGGAAAACATGTTGGCTCGTTCTTATTTTGATCCTAGAGAGGTAAGCCATTGATAGTTTAAAAAAAGGAACAGATATGAAATTTCATGAACCATTTATTAGTTAGTGAGTGTGAACGTGGGAGCCTTTTGATGGCAGAATAGATAAGATTGGACAAATATAGAAATGATCCTTGCAGTTATGAACACTACTGAACTAGTAGTTGAAATAAGGCCTGAAAAAAATTCAGGCCCATACAGGATTTGAACCTATGACCTCTGCAATACCAGCGCAGTGCTCTACCAACTGAGCTAACTGGGAGCTGGTCATAATTTTGGATCCAAATAAACCTTCAAAGTGGTGAAATAGTCAGATGAGATTAGATTGGGCCATTCTTGCTCTTGCTGGGGAGCACAGGGTCTCCACCATGGCTCTCAGTTTTTTTGGCAGTTCCCTTTGCCTCCCTCCAAGTGAAGATGGCACAATGCTGCAAATGTTATTTTCAACTATTTTCCAATTCACTTTTTAGGCATACCCAGAAGGTGGTAGTAAAGAGCGAAGGAGAGCTGCAATAGCACAAGGTATTTATGTCTTTAAACTAAGTATTAATTGTCTTTGTTTTGATGGGAACCATAGTTTTTCTTTACTAAGTTGCCTCCTGTAAAGAGCAAAAATTTCATGGAAGGCTTTTTTTACATACACAATTTTTAAAATTTAGTTTTATCAGCTGAGTTGAGTAAAATAATCAGCCATGGTATTGAGTTTCTAAATCTGATGTTTTAGGGTTTAGCTCTTTGCCACAGAAAATGTGAATAAATTGCGTTCAGCATTGTTTTGGTTTGGAATTCTGTGCTGTGTTGAGAATTACCATTTCACCATTTTCCAGCCTTGTCAGGTGAGGTGTCAGTTGTACCACCATCTCGTTTGTTGGCACTGCTTAGTCAAGCACTTAAATGGCAGCAGTATCAAGGTCTTCTTCCACCAGGAACTACTATTGATGTTTTTCGTGGAAAAGCTGCTGTGAAAGATGAAGAGGAGGAAAAATATCCCACTCAAATGAACAGAACCATCAAGGTATGCAATGAATACTTTTATGTTTTCTGTTCACATTTAAACCTTTGGTTGTGAGTACAATAGCCAAACAAGCATAAGATATTGTGTTGAGTTATGAGCTGAACAAGAAAGTTGCACCATATTTTTAATGAGTATAAGTGTGCTTCTTTTCCCCTCAGTTTGGGGCCAAATCACACCCTGAGTGTGTCAAGTTTTCTCCTGATGGGCAGTACTTGGTGACTGGGAGTGTGGATGGTTTTATTGAGGTGTGGAACTTTACAACAGGAAAGATCAGAAAGGATCTCAAGTACCAAGCTCAAGATAACTTCATGATGATGGATGACTCTGTTTTGTGTTTATCCTTCAGTCGAGATAGTGAAATGTTAGCATCTGGAGGGCAAGATGGAAAGCTTAAAGTATGATTTTACTTTGTTTTTGTTAGATTGTGGTTTTGAATGTGATTTGTAATGAGGGGGGATGAAGGTTTAGGTGTCCTAAATTTTACAATAGAATCTTGACGACTTGAAATGAGAAATATTTGAAGATAACAGGGAGTTATAGTTGGTTAATAAAGGATGATTAGCAATGCATTTGAAAGGAGGTGGAGTTTGCAAGAAGTTTGCTTAACCCTTTAACCCCTAAAAGTGACCAGCATCTAATTTCTCCTTACAATATCACCACTGAATCGCACATTAATGTCATGAGAATAAAGGAAATGATCACCAGCTTAAGAATCTCTTAATTTTTGGACAAATTCTCCTTGTCAGCACCTTAGTAAATGTACAGAGAGCAGTATGGAGAATATGTATACTGATGTTAGGGTGTAAAGGGTTAAGTGAACCCAGTTGTTGATAGGGAGGTTCCATTTATCTTAAGGTTGTTTCCTTCCTGCTCTCAGATTTTGTTCTTTCATCTGATTGTTCTCCTTTCTTGTTTTACTCTGTTTCTTTGTCCTGTAGTATTTTTCTCTCCTTCCTAAATCATTTCTTTTATGTCTGTCGGTGTAATTAATTTTCAGATTGTATTTCCAGGTCTGGAAGTTACAAACTGGTCAGTGCCTGCGACGTTTTGAGAAGGCTCATGCTAAAGGAGTAACTTGTGTAACATTTTCTCGTGATGCGAGTCAGCTGCTGAGTGGTTCTTTTGATATGACAATAAGGTGCGTATACAAACGCAAGATGCTTTTTCCATGAGACAGTTTGAGGTAAACTAAACTTCTGGTAATGTTGCTTGGTTATGCTCAGTGATTGGTACTGGAAACTCTTGCGTTACCCTCTCCACCAATCAATTGTAAAATTTAAACCAATCGTAGCTTGGTCTTTCACATTTTCCTACACTTAATGATCATTACTTGTAATGAGTTTGTGTTCTCATTGACCCCTGTATTGATCTTTGTTCTGATTGTTGCCCGTGATTACTTTGGCTTTGGGACACTCATTTGAAATGCGGTATGTGGGGAACATGCCCTAGTACTTTCCTTTATGGACACACTATATACCACTATATACATATAGGCATACACTTACATGGAACTATTTCAAAAATTAAAACGATATACAATGTACCTGTTGCATATGCAGCCTTCCTGGTGAAGAGTGGGCTGAAAACAAGACACGTTAGATAAAATCCGAGAGTTTGCATCTGTCCTTAAAAGAGAGCATTTAATGTGGTGGACATTTTATTAGAACTGTTTTAAATTTTTTCTGTACTTTCCTAAGTAATCAGGCCTTTATGTGTAATGGATTAAAATAGGTGCAGTTTTAATACTAGCTCTACTATTGTCATTTTCCTAACCTTGACTCATTTTTGCTAAAGTATGTAACCTCTTTGCAGAATGCATGGGTTAAAATCTGGCAAGACCTTAAAGGAATTCCGTGGACATACATCGTTTGTAAATGACGCTATTTTTACAACAGATGCCCACAACATCATCAGTGCCAGTAGCGATGGAACTGTTAAGGTACCCAAGTGTAATCATGAATCAACATTAAAGCTCTCTCTTTGAACAAAGGGATTTTAGAATGCAGTCAACAGACTCCATGGAAATAGAAACAGATAATTTTTTTTTATGCATGAGAAATTGTCTGCTTGCAGAGTAGGCACAGAAGTGAAACTCATCTTTGTACCTTAAACAATCAAATATGAAGTTAAAGGGTGTTTAAGATGTAATTGTTCATTTTTCATTGCACTCATGTTAGCACTCTATAATGCCTGATTTTATAGTTGTTCCATTTTATTCTTTTGTTCAGCTTTGGAATATTAAAACAACCGAGTGTCTTCACACGTTCAAGCCATCAGTAGGGAGTGTTGCCACTGATATCACAGTAAACTCTGTGCATGTGATGCCAAGAAATCCTGAACAGTTTGTGGTGTGCAACAGAACAAGCACTGTACTGGTTATGAACATGCAAGGACAGGTAGGATTCATGACACATGTTTGTCTGACAACCAATCTAAAATGTTAAATCTACTACACACTTAACACTTTTGATTAGATTTCGATCCTATTGCTGATGATTCAAGCAACATAATAGGACCCTTGTTGCAGATGTATCTTTCATATGGGAAAAATTATGATCTTTTTTTTTGTCTCTTAATCAAGAAATTTCCTGTTCTTCTAGGCTGATTGGGAGCTGTTGTGAACTACTAAGTTAGCCACACTTTAGTCTGTGAGGATTCAACTTCAGTAAATCTAAGATGAATACAATTTTCCATTTCCTGATGGTACTGAAATTTTTGTTTTCCTCCAGATTGTGCGTAGTTTCACCAGTGGTAAAAGAGACGGTGGTGACTTTGTGTGTTGCACCCTCTCCCCCAGGGGAGAATGGATATACTGTGTAGGGGAGGATATGGTCATGTACTGTTTTAGTGCCTCTACAGGAAAACTAGAGCAGTCTTTACAGGTATGTGGTGACATTTTATTGAGTGGTAGGTTTTTGCCTTATTTTTTTTGCATGAAGAAAACAAAGAATTGTAATTGTTCATTTTTCATGCCCTTAAAATTGGCAATGTTTGAGTATATTCAAACCTCATTGTCGAAAAGGCTGTTTTCTTTGGGTTGGAATTCTGCACAGTTATAAATAATCCCCATTCATTAAAAGAGGCACCCAATTTAAACCTCTACCTTTATAGATTTCTCAAAAATAGCCTACATAGAAAAATCTGTTCATTTGGAATCTTTGTTAATCTTCGTCATCTTAAACCATTCACATTTACTTTTTTTTGTTTTGTTTATTATTTCCATTTGGCTTTTTATCTGTTACCAAACCGATATTTTGTGTTTCTATTGCATTGGAGGCAGTTGTATCTGTTGCATAAAAAGGTAACTTGAATCACCTTGATGCTGAACAGAAGAATTTGCCAACTCATGAGGTTTGGACAACTCCTACATTGGACATCAAATTTTTCTTTTCTATATTTCAGATTCATGACAAGGATGTGATAGGTGTTGAACATCACCCTCACAACAATCTGATCTCCACCTACAGTGAAGACGGACAATTAAAACTGTGGCAACCATGAGAAATACATGAAAAAACCTGTGTGTTACTCAGACATAGATTCGCCCTCTTAAAACTTACTGCTAACTAAGAAAAAAAAGAACTCAAAATAAAACATCTAAGCCATGGAAGGATTTGCAAACTTGTTCATCAGTTTTGTAGGGCTTGAAATAGATGGAGGGCGCTTTATTAAAAAACTTTTCATTGAATCTTGAAATGAAACTGTTCAATTTAACCAGGCCTAGCTTGTACTCTACTTTTAGTTTTTTTTGTGCCTCTGTGAACTTGACTTTGTGTATAGAACTTGCAGGTTTTTTTTTTCTTCAAGAATTAGAGCCTGGATCATTCTGACTTGTATAAATAAATTTATCAAAGGTGTGTTGTTCTGGTATCCATCTTGAATAATCTTTGTGAAATTTCAGTTAATCATGATAATTGATAACAAAAACCCCAAAAGTAATAAGCAAGCAAATTCACCATACAGATGTCAATACATTCCCTAGCTAGCAGGGGTTGGGAATCAGGCTGAAGGTGGTATCCTGATATGATACTGAATTCTCTCACTAACTTACAAGAAAAATTATCACGGTTAATCGCCAACTGAATCTTTTGAACTTGAGGGTTAAGAAGAATGTTTGGTGTTGTCACTGGCAATTTGAAGCATGGCGTGCATTCAGTTAGCAACACATTGAGAATTTTTGCAAGGGAAGAATTAAATAGAGATATTAATCTCCATGCGAAAATCCAAATCTAAAGATTTGACTATTTAAATAATTTCAAGAATTGGCACTTTTCTGCAACTTGGGCCATCTATGGCTTATTGCTTTTTCTCATACTTCAAGCAGATTTTAAATGTGAATTTTCTTCCAGTTTCAATTGACTCTTTATATTTTTCCCTTTGTTTTGATTGGCTGATATGATCACTTTGGTTTAAGTTGGTTTTGTAACAATCCATCGTGATGCATAGTACATTGTGTTGTAAATGTACTCCTGGTTTTCTACCTAATTATAGTCAACTTCTCTCAGTAACAGCCTTGAGAAGTTTGGTTTTTTTAAATTTACTCAAACACTCTATCTTTTTTCTGGAGAAAGTATATTTAATAGCTAAAGAATCTGTGAACTATTGTTGCCTCTAAAGGACAATATACTCTAAACAACATTCATATGATAATAATACTCCAACTGCGTTGTTTCAATTCAAAAATAAATTTAAAAAAATTGCTTAAGTTGATTGTTCAGCACCAGGACTAAATAGCTTTGGGAGAATCAGCATACACAAGACCTTTGATCTTCACTTGTTCACTATTACTGTATGACAGCTTATGTATGATAGCTTATAACTTTTCATTCAACATAGCAGCGAGCAAGTGAAAGTAACTTTGTTTGTTAGTGTTTTCCCTTCTAAACGTAACAGAATTCTTGGCTCCAAACCTTAAGGCATTGGTTAAAAATCAGGCAATCATTTAAAATTCTCAAAAATCATCCTTGCCTGGCATGGCCACTTAGAGAGACCACCTCCCTATTACCAGCAGTAAATCATGACAACAAAGAGAGTTACTCAAAGTACCAATATCTAAATCCTTCATCCCTTATGAAAAAGACAGAGCAGCTGGCGTATTTTAAGTAATTACATTACTTTATGGTGACAACCTTCAGTGGTGGTGCAGGGCTCCATGCTTCACGACTTTCAAATTAACCAATTGGTGACCAGAAATCATAATGTTTTCACCAGATAAAGAAATTTTCAAAGGCAGAAAGAAGAAATGAAGAAAAAAAAAAACAGGATTACTCAGTTTTCTGTGTAAATGTTTATCTCTAACTAAAGACCATAAGTTACATGGATGCCAAACATAAGTCACCAAATTGGCAATTTTGTTGCAAATTTAGCCATCGAATTGTTTTCTCAGCCTGGAGACCATATTGGTAGCAGCTTGAAGCCTTGGGCTGAGATATGAATGTATCACCCAGCTACCACATCCTTTCATTGCCTGACCAACTTATATAATGAGCTATAAGTGAGTGCCTGCACAATGATGGAATCAATCAGCAAATACATAATAATCAATATATGTTTACTCTACCATAATAAAAAAGCTGGCAGACTACCTCCATTATCAACCTAAAGTTGACAAAAATAGATTTGTGAAAACCACCAAGTACACTTTAAAAAGCTAACAATTTGAATGTTTAAAGTGATTATTGATTTACAACCTAATCATGACCTGAGGGTCTAGAATTAGTTGTTTCTAAATTCTTTCAAACCTAATTTTTTTTGGCACCTAGGGTCTAAAAAATTCTCCATACAACCAAAGTTAACTTCTCTTTGGATAAGATATAAAAGATGTCATGTCCTCATGTTTACGAGGTAGCAGTGAGGGCTACGAAGCGAACAATCAAGCCCACAACAAAGAGAGTAATTCCTATGCCAATTGACAAGTTTGCCAACTTCCTGGCCTCCATGCTCGACATATTGGCTGTAGCAAAGTCTCCTCGAAAAATGGCATCACGTGTCTGCCCAAAGATGAAAAGAAAACAAATAATTGCACTCTTGTGTTACATAATGAAGTAAGCTGATTTCTTATGAATAAATATCAAGAAAGACATCTCATGAATTTTATTTTTAATTTCAATTTTAATTTTAGTTGCGTGATATTTAAAAATATCAGGCAATTGTTGTCATGGCATAACAGATGTGGACCGGACTCAAGAGACCATGTGACAGCTTACCTCATTGGATTTCAATATGGCACAAATTCCAGTTGGGCAAAAACAGAAGAGACATGCAAACCAGGCCAAGAAACAGTAATCAGGGGGTGCTAGCTGCGGTGCCAAAATAACACTGGGTCCAATGCCCCCTTGCTGAAAAAAATAATGAATAAAGCAATACTTGTGAAGCTAAGTGAATTTGACAGTGTTTTGATCATTTTTCAGACAGCACAGAATTGCAGGAAGAAAGTTTATTCAGACAATAATCCTGACTTACCACAACAGTGACAGAGTTTGTTTGTTGAGTTGTTATAGGAGGAACATAACCTTGTTGATAACTTGGGTAGTAACCAGGCTGTCCAGGTGGAAGCTGTGCATGGTAGCTAGGGGGCTGTGTTTGGTGTCCTGTTTTTTCAGGTGGGACACCTGCATATGGCTGTGGAGGGCCTGGGTATGCTGTGGGTGGTGGTGGCTGTTGCCAACCATACCCCTGGCCAGGGGGAGGGTACTGGGGTTGAGCTGATGCATCTCCTGAGTACGGGGGTGGTGCATAGGGAGGTGGTGCCAAACCTGAGAATAAACCATATCAAATTAATATTTAGTCACAAAGAAAATGCCATGCTGAGAGGGCAAGAAAATTTCTCAGGTTCTCTGTTTAAGGTATGGCTGATGACATAAAGTTCTCTTGCTCAAGACACCTTCCCTTTATCTCTTCTCACCAAGGAATAAAAATTGTGTGGAGAATCTGGAATGAATTGTATCCAGTGAATTACATGTATCTCTACATGTAGAGGAACCATTTATTTTGGAAGTTGTTATCATAATGTTAGCCTGAGAACTTGAAATCCACATTCATCTTAATAGACAACAATGTAATAACTGTACCCTCTTCATGCTGCAGACTAAGCAAAAAACATTCAAAAGATACACAGATTGAACCACAGACAAAAATAGTCCATATAAAAAAAAGTAAGTATACTTTTACTAGCATAACTAAACCATACCATTGTCATTGGGTGTGTTAGGTTCCATGTTAAATCAAAAGTAACCAAACAACTTTATTGAGCCTGAAAACTACAGAGAAACAAAAAAACCACCCTGAGAAAATACCAAGAAAATTAGCATTAAATTCTGAATAAAACTATTGTTTTCTTCTCAGGCTGGAGACCATATTGGTAGCAGCTTGAAGCCCTGGACTGAGATGTGAATGTATCACCCAGCTACCACATCCTTTCATTGCCTGACCAACTTATATAATAAGCTACAAGTGAGTCTTTTATTCGGTCACAGTTTTTCACCATACGGACCTCATAGCCAGCAATTAACTTATATTTCGATGCCATCTTTCATCAATCCGAAGTCTGTCAGGCGAATCATCTTCGATATTCGGAAGTCTTATATTGTTCCTAAGCTTGAATATAAAAAATAGCCTTAAACACGCCACAATATTGTAAGGCTTACCTTGGGAAATTATCAAGGGTGACTGATGAACACCTTCACTAATCTTAACGCGAATCTGTGAGCGCCGAAGGCTTTGAGGTCAAATTAGCTTCGACATCTGTTTCTGGTACCTTTCAAAGGCTTCAAATAATCCTTTGACGTCATTTCAAAGACGTCATTCCGTTGCTAGCCAAACACGAGACCTGGGCACGAGCCTAAAAGCAGAGCGTACGTATAAAGGAAAACAGCTACACTGTTAGATTTTCCCGGAAAATTTATCTTCAAAACTTTATTCCAAACCCGAGAGAGTACGTATCACCATAAGATCTCTGCTGTTGTTTTTCTCAATCCTAAAATTTTTCAAGCGTTTTTGTTCAGTCGTTCAAACGTACTCAATCCAAGCACAAAGTTCTTCTGCTTCTTTTCAGTTCTTGATGAATTACTGTAATCCACATTTGAGTTTTCCTTTCCGACTGAGTACACTTTTTTAGCCACTTTCAGGCTAAAAGAACGTTTTCCCAGAAAAGGAAAGATTAGATAAGTGAAAAACTTGATAAACAAGATCAATGGCATGAAATATTTTGACACTGCCCTTACAGAACAATGAGACCGCCTTCCAGTGAACCAGTAACCACCCAATAAATTACAGGTTGACCAAGCTCGATAACAGGAGTTTGCCAACACCATATTATTTTTACACAAAGGTGAATACATAAGGATATGAATGGAGGACACGGTTACATCAGGAAATCAGAAAGTGTCTAGAATTCAATTTAAAAAAAAGCAAAGAAAAGAAACTGATCTCGCTCCGTTCGCGCGTTTCTTCTGCACCTGTTTGGTTTTTTCAATTGACTCATGGCGATTCATAAGTTTTTTAGAAGCACTGTTTTTTCGTGCATCAAGGAAGGGCGCTGCAGAATACTCTGGGTTACCCCCTCAGATCATGAATCGTCAGTGGTAAAGCTAAAGGTAAACAACTACTCGTAGGCCATGAAAGCTAGAACATGCCTGGGCAAGGACCTAGGATGGTTCTTTTCGGTGCAGGGGGGTTTGCAATGCAGCTGGAATGAAGAGAGTTAGCAGCTTCGGCTGCTACATAGCGTAAGTTTGGACTTCGTAAGGAGAGATGACAGGTTGTGCGGGACACGAGGTGCTGTTACACGACATAGCAATCGACCTTTCGTAGAGGAACTCGATCCTCTGACGGTTGACTAGCAAGACTGCTAGACACATGTATGTAATCTTTAAAATCCACCCGTAGCTTCGAGTTGGTATCAGTTATCGTAAGTAAATTGTTCTTTCTATTTTATTTCATGTTCATTTTTCATAGATGTGAAGTGTACTGGTAAGTCGGAATAGTTAGGAATTTGCTCCAGTTTTAGAGGATTCCCGCCGTGCCTGTGACGTCTTAGGAACTACTACATTCGGTGCATTAGACGTAAGCTTAAAAAAACTAATTTATTCTGTCAACTATAAGAAATGACAGTTTTCACAAGTTGCGAGCAACGGTATTAAAAACTTATACCATGCGAGAAAGGAGCTGCTTTTGAGTTTTAACGCTATCTTCAAGGGGAATATTTCACATATGATAAATTTATACACAACGCTTCAATTTTGAAGTCGTTAGATTTGTCACGCAATCCACTTACATGTTGCTTCTCCACAGGAAGTTACGGAGCTACAATATTGCAGAATAGCAGCAGCCCATTAATTCCAATAGATTGAAACGAAAATCTTAAAGGTGTTTGTGCGCTCAAAAATTTTTCTTGTACAATGTTTTGTTAGTGACGATACATTTAAGGTCTAAAGTCTAAGGAGTGCCGAAGTGTTTTGACAAGAAACATCTCCAGATCCGGTAAAATTAGATTAACTCAAATGACACGATAATAAGTTATCCTGGTCTTCACTTCCTCAGTGGAGTTCAGTTTCGCATACTTAGTAGAAAAACCCTTATTGTGGCAATTTTCATAACCCACAGGTTTTTTTTCTTGACTGAAAAGGATCACCTCATGGTCTCATCAACTGACAAAAATAACTGATCTTTTTTTTCATTTACGTCTATGAGCGTCTAGTTTGACTTGAACTTGATACATCACCAAATCCGCATCTCAGGCAGGACAAAGTGAAAACAACACTAGTTGTAGGAAAGTTCCGATTCTGGCGCAAACCATGATTTTACCAGCAGCCTTCAATTAGTTATTAGATAAATTATTTGATAAGTGCTTGAACAGCCGGTTTTTGGACAAGTTCTTAGATAAAGTTTTGAATAGGTACTTATTGAGTCACTGCGATGAAATAATGGTTTGCGCCAGAATCGGCCCTTGGCTACTAATACATGCGCGAAAATCACCTGTATCACCATCTCTGACACTGATGACCATGACGTGAAGCGACGTGACCGTGGAAGTTGTTAGGAGGATTCGCCACGTGATATATAGGCACTACACATCACTACTCAAATCCTTTCTTCTGTACCTCGACAAAGGCAATGACATCGATAACGACGACATAACGATAACTACGACGATAAAGGTAAAGTATAACGAGAAACAATAACGACATTGACGACGATATTGTTGACAACAACTGTAATGGCACCGAGAACGACAGTAATAAAGACAACGATATCGATGAAAGTAAACGAAACGATTAAAAAAAAAGACAAAAACAGCAACGACAAGTATTTCAGTTCCGTATTGTTTACTCTTTAGATCGATAGTTACAAGCAAGAATGACGTACAGTTGGCGTGGACAGGCATTAAAACCGACACTAAGTTCTTAATTCATCTGGAGGCGACTGCCTCGATGAATGTAAGTATAACAAAATAAGAGACATCGCATAATTGTGCTGCGCCATAAAACGTTTACTAAACAAGTCTTTACTATGCTGGTAACCGCCGAAGACAACCCCCCCTCCCACCCAACTCCCCACGTGCCTTACCTTGAATAAGCGCTGCGCCGCTGGCCCGATACGGTCGGCTTAAATATGCAAAGAGTTATCTTATGTACTTCGATCTTACATTAGTATTTGGATATGTTGAGGGATCTTAGAGCAAATCTTCTGGATTGGACAGACAGCGTACCCTTCTACGCTGGAGCTCTTAGAATCAGATCAAGAAGGGGTCAGTAAGATCGAAGTTGAGTGTATACACCACTGGTAATGCACTGGTTATCATCCCGAAAATGTCCTCCCAAAATTAGGATGCATGCTCTCTCCAAATTCCTAAGGCCGTGCTAATGCCACTAATCCCTACTTTATTCGTTCCTATCCTTCGTGTATCCAAGAGTAAAAAAGGAAACGGCCTGAAGCGCGGGAAAATGCCGGTAACCAACACGCAGTTGGGTTTTGGTGGCGCCGCATGATCGGTGAAGAGGATGCAGTGAGGTTTGCGGACCAATCACAGAGCGAAGTACAATAAATCCAATGCAATAATACTTTCAATAATCAAATGATGATTGATTTGAAAGGAGTTAACGCTTGCTTCATCGTGAATCGCATGGACGACTGAGCGCCTTAAGTGTCTTGTAAGACTTAAATCGAGTCATTAGACAATGACTTCAAATTGCTTAAAAGCGCCTTGGATTAAAATGCACAAATTGAAAATCATCTAAAGGTTCAAAATTACCAAGTGAATACAAAAGAAAATTTCCCGATCCAATATTGTTCCTCCCCCCCTAATTTTCGCCTAAGTGCCTCTTATTTTGTCACCATTAACTAAACTATTACAAGGAAAGCCATCTAAGAGCTACGTGACGTCTCAACGTAACTGGGGTTATTGAACCATACAGACAGGTTGAATTTAGAAGCTACGGTAATTTGAAGATGATCAAGGTATGAATCAAGTTTTACTTGGCGCCATAGGATTTTCTGAAAGCGATAGAAATGCTTTGAATTTCACAAATGGTTGTAATGAGTTACTTTCTATGCGAGTGAAAAGACACACGTATCTTCTTAATCACTGAATACCTTATTGATAATTTGGAAGGCTAATGTTGTAGCGAAGACGTCACGAGCGCAATCATATGTTAATTGAATCCTTTATTATTACACGGAAGATTTTTGGGTGGCGTCGGTAATATTTCGTAATGGATCGTCGGTGCCGTAAAAACGGTTAGAGTAACAAAACGTGATTTAAAGGTGGTAAGGTGCCAAAGAGAGAGGAACGTTGCAAATGAACAGAAGGTGAGATATTGTAGAACATATCTGAATTAATAGTTTGTGAATCTGTCAAGACCTCAAGTTAAACAGCGTTACCTACTGGTAGTCACGCGAAGCTAAGTCTGACATAGGTGTTAATTTGACTTAATACCGTCTTTGTGGTTGGGTAAATTGGTTGCTGTTAGATTTCCTCTCTGGTGGTTCATTTCAAATGAAGTTATTGAGCAGTGCTTCGATCGTCAACGGAAGTGAATGTCACATAAACATTGTCCACATTGGTTAGTTCAGTTAGTTTCTTTCTCGAGAGAGGAATCACTACGTTACGTGATCATTTAATCATCCGATGTAGGTTTAGTTCGGCTATCAAGTGGAATTAGAGCCAGCGGGAATTTTTTTTCCTCAAAAACTTATTTTGTTTCATACAGAGAGCAGTTGATCTATCGAACAAAAGATGAAGAGAAATTGTTATGACAATAACTGAAAGCCGCCTGGCGCTTTTTGTATTCATTGGCAACTTGCTTTTAGCTGCGCACATTCGAATTGGTAGTTGTGCATTTTTTCCGGTCCACGACTCATTGTTCTAGTTTGGAAGATAACGCCATTACTAAAAAGACAAGAGCTGACAATTTTCGTTGAGTTTAAATTTCAGCCGCTTGAGTTAACTTCAATGGAATTTTTGGTCTTTCAGAGTTTCTTGTTTACATTACGAATCGCAAAGATAATAAAGATATTGACTTAAAAAGTCAACTGTCCGTATCAAGTGGTCAATACCGGAGTGACACTCCGTAAAAGCATGGTATACGTCACATGTTCAGATTGTGTTGTGTTTGTAAACAACTTTGTGTGCTGCCGTGGAAATCAACGTTTACTATTAATCTGGAAGAGTTTAAAGTGAAAAGTGTTTTGGAGAATCATAACAGAGTGTCTTGACTCTTCACCAGTACCCGTTCCTT